CAGACGACTCTCATCTATGGGCGAGAAAGGGTACGAGAACTTATGGAGACCTCTAGGACAGTATCACAGCAACCTGGCACAACTAGGAGACCCTGCACCACCACATAGGAAGCAGAAGGGTGACCACACAACTTGCAAAAATCCTAGATACCATGCCATGGCACCCAGGAGAAGCACAACCGTACGCATCCTCAGAATGGTAGACACTTGATATTCATGGCTCAATTATGGAGATATTCCATATATTCAAAATCAAAAACTCAACATTATAGGGAGTTAAGTATGTTGTCAGCTCCTCCAAAGAATTAGAGTACACCAACACAGGACCAATGCACCTCGGAAACAATGAAGTCCAACGAATCTGCATTACATCATGCATGGGGGAAAATCAGATATTTAATGACTACAACCCCCTACAGAAGCCCGACATAGGACATACACTTTGGCTTGTAGGTGACAAACCCATTTGCCAACTACCACTGGATCCAATAGACTGAACTTGGAAGAGACAGGGAGCCCTCCCCGATACCATATTTTTCAACTAAATTACCAAACGTGGATACAAACAACAATGTAAATCCATCGCAATGCCACCCAAAGGCGAGGGAAACCTAAGAGACTTCAACTTTGGAAATATAGATCAAAAGCAGTTTTACTACAATCTTTGGCACCCATGGCTCCCGAGGAAAGTCTCCGCCATGCAATGATTAGTATTTGCAGGCAGAATCCCAATAGGAGCATAGAGACAAATGATGCAAAAGGATGACCACTACTTCCTATGCAATGACGATGCTATCGAAACAATACAGCACGCGTTTTGGGATTACCCTCATATCACTACCGCGTGGGTAAAATATAACCAATTATGCACTGCGGCCCTACTTCTTCCTCTCAACATCTAGAACAAGGTCATATACAGACCCAACACTCCAAATACGCAACACACTATGGAGCTTACATCCTTCGTGCACGTCACCCCCGATACCTCCTGGTTCCTACCACGCACGCTTATACTCTGGAATATATGAAGTAGTCGATGCTCATACGACAGGGGAAGAGCCTCATACTATACAAGACTAGTGCTTTACAGAGCATGGAAAACAACAATCCACATAAGAATGGAGGCGTGGCGAGTTCTCCAACGCAATGAGAGACCCCTAAGAACTGCAGACAGCGAAAAATAAAATTTCCACGGACATATGGACCGCCAGCGGAGTTTTTGCATAGGCGATAGTAAAGGAACATGCCTGGCAATTAGTCCCCCTCACACAGTTGCTCTTCAAAGACCTATCGCGACACCCGCACAACAATTAGACCGATGTGCCGACTGTAACAAGGTACCACACACAACAACTCTCAAATCCCTCTGACGGTACGTCCCACAACACCCCTGGACAAGAAAACCTTACGCACAGCCCTACACCAAGCAAGGAGATACTCCAGCAAGAAGTACATCAACTCTAAGCAGAAATTGAAAGAGAACGTACTAAGAGAATAAGCACAGATGGACAATGTAGAGACACAACCCCCAACCTATGCCAATGCCTTCAACAATACGCACCTTGCCAGCAAACTGCGACAGCATCAGATTTACGATTACACGTCTAAGCAACCATAGCAGCCACAAACACAACAGATGATGACTTATTTCGGTTAATCGATAATGCATATAGAAACGAGCAAGAATGGTGCGAACAGCTAGAAAACATGGACAGCCATGACGGAAACACACACTCCTCAGAGACAGAATCCGACGAGGGCTCTGCAACCCATGTCAACTTTAGAAACATCAGAATAGCAAAGGCCTAATCCTCTCGACTAGACTCCACAGAGAGCAACTAAGACAGAAATACAAGGAAGGTAACAACCTGTTACCATAACAAATCATTGCGTTCACACAGGCGCTAACCCGTTTACTCAACAAGTAATGCGTTTGCTACTGCTTTTTACTTTAACCCCAATGGGGTATTTGGCTCCAAGTGAAGAGAGCATCCCTCAAAACATCAAGGTCTCCTTCCCAGCGAAGACACTTGCTGTTAATATACCGGATTGCCTAGTATGGCTCACGTGAGAGCCAGCCATAAACGCCCCCAAGAATTCCAGGACAGCTGCTGTCAAGACAGCCTGCCGTGAAGTCAAGGCACTGGAGCCTACTGAAGTGTTCATGGCGTTAGCAACGTCGTTAGCACCGATATTCCACGCCATGTAGAAACCGAGCAGCAGTGTTAAATAAGACAGTACTCTAGTTCTTAAAGTCATCCCTACTCCAGAGGTTGGCATATAAATTGGTAACAGCAGACCGGAGATGGCAATGACAGCCAAAATTCCAAATGCAGTACGAGACGAGATGTCAAATGCTTCAGCCACGCCTTTCATTCCACCACTTGCTGCCCCCCTGCTTCAACTTACTCACTCCAGATCTAGAATCATCTGCAAGCTCGCTGGGTAGGTCTCCGGCCCCTGCAACTGCAGAGGATGCTCTGCACCCCAAGCTTCGCCGAGGTCTAATGGCGTACCGTTGAAGGTCAGACTTCCGGATGCCATGATTATTCATCTGATTTTGAAATGGCGAGAATGATGTGCACTTTTTCTCTCGAAGAATAAAAACATCAGAAGAAAAAAGCCTAAAACCATGGGAACCACTTTGAGCAACTCGGAGTTGAGGGGCGTTTACAGTACTTTCAAGAGGAGTGAGACCATGACCCAACCTAGTCATGGTTCCCGTGGTTGCTCTTGCCCCACAAGTGCCCAAGCCTTCCTCAGGCCTGCCAACTAGGCAATTCCACTTTCCGTATCTACATGTATAAAAGCTGCAAATTTTTTTTATGGGTACGTTCGGCTCTCGTTGATCCATCTCTTAGAACTCCCTACATCATAACCAAACTCTTGTAAGCAATCGAGTTTGTCAGTATTTGTTAAGAGTGATCACCACATGCACCTCGTAACTCTCTGTACATTCTCGTAACAGAGACTACTTATCAGGATTCTTTGAACAGAGTATAACTTCGGTTTCCAAATTGTCAGGCATCAAGGTTGGGTGCATAGATTATGCATAATGTACATTCTCCTCTTAGAAAGTTGAAAAACTAATGACAACCTCGTAATTTCACCTGGCATGCTACAATTGTCTGGAGAATGCAAAGGCGGCAGCTCCTTCCACCTTTCTACAGAGAGAAATCATCATCCTTCAGAAGACATGAGATAAGGACTTTGAAACCCAAGATTGAAGATGAAGCCCACTTACTAAAGTATTATGTAGGCTTTTCGGAATACAGCGGCAATTGTCTTAGAACTAGGAATTGTAGAGCGTACATTTCTCTACACTTAATCCGTAGGAACCTAATACGAAATGCGCACCCGGAGGAAAATGGACGATTGTATGATCAGCGAGTGCTATGGTCTAGACATCTCCCTTATCCTTCGAAGTAAACTAGACCATCTCGACCTCTAAGCCGGTACGGAATACTCTACACCCCTAACTCTTTCACAAGAAAGTAGCCAATTGAATCTCTGTAAGGAGTCCATGTCAAAATGCTCACAGATACAATATGGAAAATTTGCACTGCTAAACCTGGCAGAGTAAAGAAAGGTGTGCAGAGTGCTCTACAACGTGACACTGAATAGATGGGAAATTTGACACTTGGGTTCTACAGCTTGAGTGTAATTCTGTAAGCGAATCAGAAAATGTTCCATCGCGCCACAAAATCACAACCATCCAGGACAGCTCTTGCGGTGAATAATAACACACTGCTCATGTAAAATTTGGGTCACAAACCTCCGCAAAAGTGGTACCCACATCCCGTACCCGCAACTCAACGCGACCAATCGCGAAGTCACAGGCAATGTACAGCTCACCCGGCTATCACGAAAATGAATACCAAATGAGTACCACAAGGGATAATTAGTACCAATTTATAGGAAGGAATGCGTCCGGACCCGAGGTCGAGTTATTGATGATGAGCCTGCTACGAACGGCACACTAAAAAATAGACAGAGGAAGAGAGTGGAGGATCAATGAAAATCCCGGTGAGGAACGGAGCTAGAGAGAAATTGGGCTGCAGCAGGGCGATAAGGTTCTTTTGGAATTTGCTGATGGCTACTTGCTTCTGCGTACACGACATGGCTGGCACCTTCACTTTGCTCTAAAATAAGAACGCTTGAGCTCTTTCACTGTGTTACCAAATGAGCACACAACTTCCAACATCCAGGAGTAGTTCACAGGGTATAGAAGGGTCTTTCACCATTCATGAACTGCAGCACTCTCAATTAAGATCAAACTTTACAGCCAAACGAATACTGCAGCGAGACTAGACTTTTGAGATACGTAAGCATAACTCTGTAGTGGGCAGTCATGAAATTGTATTCGAAATGGATTATAAGGTTGAGTCGGAAAGACGTGCTGGGAATGATCCGTTGCTACGGCGCGGTTTTTGCAGCCTATCAACCAAATTGCAGTCTCAGTAAAGCGCTTTGTCATCCTCTCGGGGAACTAACTTAATGTACAAACTGCAGATACGTAACTGCAATGATTTCAGGTGCTTCACCGCACACCATAGTCCAACTTCCACGGAATCGGTATTCGCGGAAAAAAAAATTTACCACCGAAAGATCCGTAAAGTAAGACGAAGTTAGTATACTGCATATACTCAGTTCAGTTTGTGGGATCCACTGAAAAAGGGTCAAGGTGGCGGAATCTACTTGTTTTCCCATCGATGGAAACTTGAGAGGTGTCTTGCAAGAAAGGCTGAATGTGAGACGATCATCTAACCATCGCTCACCTTGCAAATTAGGGCTTTCTTCGGGCTTCCAGAAGAGAAAATACCTTTATGTCTTAAGGATCACACGTGTTTATTTTGCAGAATTTCACGCACAGTCTTCGGAAGTTGAGGGTAGAATAGGTCCCACCAACTTAGAAATACAAGCGTCTAGAAATCCAACGTCTGACTTTGTGGGTACCAAGGCCACATGGCACATATTTTGTATGTCTACGCACTTGGCAGTCTGTTGCTTGGCCATCTGCTTCTCTGATACAGTACCTTTTTTGATTCTTTCCTCTGAGTGACTCCAAGCTTCACTAACCTACAATCTGGTTCAGAGTACAATCCGTATCGAGTAATGACAGGTCAGGCTTGGTATCAGTTTCTAAGACTAGGATCTGCAAACATCAGCTTGCGAGGTGTCATGAAGCACTCGAAGAAGACCAAGTACTCGGTGACATGGCAGCACAAGGAGCCGCAATTTTCCCGTCTTTATGGTGCCATCGCTGCTGCTCTAGAGCTTGAAAATCTTGCAAGAAATAAATTTATAAACGTGATCTAGAGCCTGCTCGATGAGACCGACTGCTCGGATAGGGGAAGGGTTGAAGAATCTGTTACACACCCAAGCTTAGAAGGAAGTACTGGTCGATCCCCTTACACAGTTTTGTATTTGCTTGAGCGGTCGTTGTACAGCAGTTATGGAGGAAGCCTTGCTTCCAAGCGGAAGCACTCCGGCTGATTCGCGGAGGCAAGATGGCGTGGAAAGCACTGTGCTGGGACGGCGAGAACGTGCCATTGCAGGTGGTGACAGATACCAGAAAGCTGCCGCCATGGTTGATCAAGTGAGCAATTCAGACTTGAGAAAACTTTCTCGTAGATCATACCCTTGGAGCTGATTAGACACAGAGATATACCTCAAAGGCTGTGGAGTTCCGCTTTTAAGGTTTTCTGTTTAACGGAGAAGGTTGATTTCGGCTACAGTAGGGCTTCAAAAGTTTCTAATCGTCAACTTTTGGTTAAGACAGGATCACATGGTCATGCGAAATATTCGTGACGATTATTAGCCAAAATCCTTGTGTCGCAGCCTGCAACTGCCTTGGCATTCTCAAAGCTCGTGCAAGTGCTCTGCGTAGCTTGTGCTTCAGAGATGGTCTCAGCGCTAGTGTGGAAGACGCTTCTTCTTGGCTGTAGAAAATGCGAAGCAGATCGGAGAAGGATATGGCACGAAATCGATCACCCCATGGATACAAATAATCTCGTCATTTGTCGTGGATATTTATACTGGTGAAGTCATTATCCTGCCGTAGTGAAGAATTGCAAAAAAAATGTTTAACTCGTGCTCTTGCATTGCAGGCAGATGATGGAGTGGGGTTACCAGTCGAGGTGTTGAAGCAACCCAATTTCGAGCATTGTGCCAAGCTTTACTTTTGGTTTATATGGCTTAACCCTATTTGGGCTCTCAATCTTACAATACTTCTACTACTCAACTTCTTTGAGGTAAGCAGAAACTGCAGGTCATGTGAGAAATATTTAGACTTCACTGTTTTGTAAAAGCTTCCTTCACAGTATTAGATGCAATACTACCAGCAGGAGTTGAACACTTTCCTCTAGATCATAAGATGTCAATTCCTTACAGTCTGCTTAGAATGTGGAGTGTACAGTTTTTAAATCCTCTATTCTTTTAAGTAATCTCTTCAGTTGTTAGCTAGGTGCCTCTGTGGTGCAGAGAAGACTTTCCTAATCCATGCGGGGATCCTGAGAAGTTCTACCTTGGAGGTTTGCCGTATTTGACAAGAACTGAATCTCTGATCCTTGAGGTTTGTAACTTAGCACTCTTTTGAAGTGACTACTGAACCATTTGGTCTCCATTGGTGAAAGAACCCTGGTCATTTTTAAGCGTGACTTGATTTTTCAAGTGACGAGGGACATTTTCAGTTCAAAGTTCATCTTAAGTTCTGGAATGGATGCTTGATGTGTATTTAATCTCGTGTTATTCTTTACACAGGTAACCTGCGTGGTAATTCTTGCCGTGCATACCTTCTTCCCTATTGCTTTTAATGGGAACAAGCTTTTCTGGGACACTCGGCTTGATAACATAAAAGTAAGTTGAGCTTGTTGCCTTTCATTTTCATATTCAATGAGCCCCGGTTATTAAAATATTCGCTTCGCACCTACTGTATGGTTGAGTGTAAAGAATTGGATTAAAGACATTATTTAGAAACCATTGTTGATCCTGCTAATAGAAGTGACACGTGGAAATTGAAAACATACATTGTCCTCTGATTAATTGATTTTTAATTGATGATACGATAACTCATCTTGTTGCCTGATTTCATGCACAGGTGTTATTGTTAGTGTTGCTAGCTGGAGACACCATCTTTAATTTGGTCTACGTAGCTCCATGGGGTCCCATTGAGCACCTCCCATTTCGTCTGGGTCCTTACATAAGAGTGTTGATTGTGGTAGTAAACCTTCGGTAAGCGCATGCTAAGCTTGTTTCGATTAATAAATTATGTGATGCCAGTAAGGAGTTTCCAAAGACTAACATATGTACATACTGCTGATTATCCGCGACGGTTATGGTGATGGCAGGGGATTGCGGGACTGCGTCAAAACATTAGCAGGTATCTTAGGAGATTTTTTGGACATTGCTGTAAGTAATCCGACTACCCAATTCAAGTGGCGTGTATCAAGTTTTACATTACTTGTATTTCCTATTTGATTGTTCCTAAAAGAAGTGGATGTGGTGAAGTTCTAACTAGATCCTGTTGCTGCTCAACAGGCGCTCCTTCTGTTGTTCCTCTTGTTTTCAAGCTGGCTTGCATTTATTCTCTTTGAGGACACGATTCAAGGAAAGACCTTGTTTAAGACGTATGGGGACACTCTCTATCAAATGTCCATCCTCTATACTACTTCCAATAATCCTGACGTTTGGCTTCCTGCATACAAGTGAGTTCTCTGCGTAGCTTCAATCTATTTAGACTTTTTCAAATTCAAGCTTGCTACAAATTGCCACACTAATTCCTCACGATCTATTACTTTCTGATGTTTAGAGACTGGAATCTAAGCATGATATCGGCTTTATATAGTTTTGAATTCTTAGAGTAAAGTTGTTTTAAAGCTGTGCTGTGAACTATATGAAAAGTTTTTAGAGAGTTTGTAAGTACTTGTATTCACGTCTCTTATGAAACAAATTGTACAGGCAATCACGGTTTTCAGCAATATTTTTCGTAATCTATATTTTGTTTGGAGTGTACTTCGTCGCCAATCTTGTTCTTTCTGTCGTCTACGACAGCTTCAAGGGCCAGGTAGTTCATCTTTCATCTCGTCGCTTTCTACTACTACACTAGCCTGAATGTATCCATCTTGACTCACTAAAATGTTGACCATTGCAAACACTTTCTTCGTATTCAACCCTGACTTTCAGTGTTGAATTCGGCTTTTCTATAGTTAGCCAAACTTCTGGTGGAGGCGGAAAATGCGAGACAGGAGGTCTTAAGTGCAGCATTTGATCTTCTAGACGATCAGGTACTAAGATTTACCTTGGTTGACAAAGCGCTAAAAGTGGTTGAGAAGTTGTACTTTTATGGTCGACTCACAAGGTCCAGCACAAGTTGATTACATTATATTAAAATCAATGGCTTAATTATCGAGTCATACGTCATTGGCCAACAGCCAATTTGAATTTTTATGGATAAACTCAAGTAGGATAATTGTCTAACATTTTCTTGAGAACTCTGACGGTACAGGGAAGAGGCTACTTGGATAAACAGCAGTGCGGTAAACTGTTCAACGAAATTAAGACCTACAGGTATATACTCATATAAAATTAAATACATTAATGTTTCTAGTGAACGAAATAAACGTTCCTGCGAGGAGTGATGAAATTTACATGATTATGATTGTTCGAGACACTGAAAAGATGCTGATTTGAGGCTTTTGGGGATTCTGATGCTAATAAAGGACTCTGCCACACATTGCTGATGAGGACATTGAGGCAATCTTCTACGCCTTGGATGACAGCGGTGATTTCAAGGTTAGTCGCAGGAGTTCTCTTGCCACCCGTCCTGTGTTTCTTTTTGTTTTTAATTTTTATTTTATTTTCCCTCCCTTTAAATTTTCATCACGAAAATCGTGCTATGCATGATACAAGAATTGGTATCAAACACCAGTATATTGGAAGTATGAATTGTTGCGTCTGTACGTGAACAGATTAATAGGGAAGAACTTGCTGACCTTTGCAACGCAATCTCTTTGAAGTTCGACAAAGCTGATGAGGTAAGAAAAACATCTTGAATACCGTACGTGCTTTATTTATTTATGTATTACTCACTTTACTACTCTACATAAGGGAATTCGTCTAGGAAGCTACAGATCATACATCATTATCATCTTCGTTGTTCGAAATTTTGGCATTCCTAGTTCTAAATATCCTACTTTCATTTGTGTTGCAGCCAGCTTATCTGGAAAAGTTTCCAAGGCTATATCACTCACAGAAATTTGAAGCATTAAAGAGATTTGTGCGAAGTGATTTGTTTGAGAAAATTGTGATTGGCATGCTTTTGGTGAACTTGGTGGCCGTCATAATCGAAACAACAGTAAGCTGCACCATCAAATCTTATTTCTTCATCAGGACTGTGCTTGATCCAAATTGCAATGAGTGTCCGGATATTTGATGATTTGTCTTCGAGATCATAACCAATTTTTATGCAGTTCATTCAGTTTCTAAAATGAGACGTGGTTTGCAGCTGGATATTCAAAACAGCACTTCTCAGAAGAGTTGGCAATATGTCGAGTTTGCTTTAGGTAGACCCATTTCTCGCTTATCATATCTCAACAATGACACGTTGGTGTGCTCGTATTCTCATGCTGCTTTCACTATGCACCAGTGTTTTTATTTTATTTTAGGCGGTTCTAATTTCTGAAGGTGCTTAACAATGGAATTTGTTTCTGGATCATTGCAGGTTGGCTATACGTGGTGGAAATGGTTCTTAAAGTGGTGGTTTATGGTTTCAATAACTATTGGCGTTCAGCTCAGAATCGTTTCGATTTTGTAATTACAGTGACTATAGGTGAGTCTCTGCTCTGCAAAAATGGCGACTCCTTCACGGTCCTTTACGTTCATTCGTGCTAGTTTTCTAATTTACAGTATATGTACTAGTGTTATTATTTTAATGTAAGCAACAATATATGCAAATTCACTAAGTTTGTGATGTACCAGTCGTTGCGGAGACATTGACCTACACTTTACCCAACAAGATCAACTTTTTTGCGAACGAGGAATGGTATGTTTTATGAATCCGGCATTGGAAGTCTGCCAAAGTTCAAGTTCATAGACCATAGAATTGTCAGGGAGTAGTCTTGCACTTGCTCATCGTAATTGATTTTCTTAGTAAATAACCCAATCTGTGTTACTGGCAGGATTCGTTATCTTTTGATTGCACGGTTGTTGAGGTTGACAAGGCTGTTGGTCCTCATGGAGCGTTACCAAGTCATGGTGTCGACGTTCTTAAAGCTCATTCCAAGTCTCATGCCTTACTTGGGCATCACTTTCTGCATCATGTGTTTCTTCTGTACTCTAGGTGTCCAGGTAAATACTTTTACTTGCCTTCTGTTTTGATGGGTTTGCTGCTTGGGTGAAAATTTGAGAACTAGTTTAAAATCGGAGAAAATGTAAAAGGTTATTATGTCTTCTACGCATAACTTCTTCGTATTCTGGTCGATGGTGTGTTTACAGGCATTTGGTGGTATCATATACGATGGCAATCCGAGGCTTCCAGGCAGCGCTATTGAAGAGAATGAGTATCCAAATCTACTTAAAATGTGTGTATTTCCTTTGCAAATCGTTATGCACTGACAGGCATGAATCCGAATGAATTGTGAAAACTTAACCATTCACAGTTACATGGTGAAGAATTTCAACGACTTTCCCTCTGGGATGGTGGTTCTTTTCGACTTACTCATTACAGGAAACTGGCATATATGGATGGATGTAAGTGCTATTGTTCACATCAAAACTCTCATAAACTAATTAATTCTTGGCAATAGCCTAATTGATAATTTCAAGATCATGAACAGAAAATGGTGAATTGTGTGTCTCTGACTGAACTCAATACTTGAGCGTACCAGGGCTTTCAAGAAGTAACTGGCAAGTGGTGGACCCAGTTCTATTTCTGGAGTTTTTATGTGCTCGCAGTTCTATTTCTTTTCAATCTGGTATGTTCCAAATCTCAAAGCTGTTTCTGACGGTATGTGAATCTGAGATTTTGAAGCTGAGGTTCAGTATTTGTGAAATGTGTGAGCTCATGTGTTGACAACCACTTGTAAGTGGTGAAACTATATATACTCAAATATACGTTTGTGTTGAAACAGGTGGTAGCATTTGTGTTGGAAGCCTTCTTTGCAGAGATGGAAATGCATTCTACTGCTAAAGAATCTGAAGTTGCGTCTGACGGGGATTCATCAGATGATGAGGTTTGACCTCTTTAACGACCAAAGCTTGTTCTATGTGCAGGAATCGGTTTATAATTGCTCTCTATATGCTAAATTCTTTTGCTATCACAATCAGATTAATGCTTTTCTTTTAGCAAAAACTGCAGGGCAATGGAAGAGTTTCTCGTGATCCTCGTGATCCTCGCAACAAGGTTAAAAGGTAAGAAATAACATGTGATTTTCAATTACTTGAGGATAATTATGCACACCTTGTATTTATAGCTGATTTATTTGATGGCTCGGCTACTCTTTCATAAGAAGTCTGTTCATCTTTGTGTGGCAGGGCAAGAAATGACAACGTCAGTTCGCTTTTGAACCACATCTTGAGTGCTGAGATTGAGAAGACTCGATCAATGAAAGAAAACGCTTAAACAAGCTTTTAGTGCAGCTCAAGTTGTAAATGAGCGGCTTCGCTGTGAATAGGGTAGCTGTAAAATAGCCTTCCCTAAGGTGCTACCATTGTGCAGTAGTGTAGTTGCTTCTAATCTGGCTAGTGAGACCTTTTAAGGTATATCATGTGATTTTGAACATCCAAGTGATCAGTTAATGTCTGTTTTTCTTCCAACACAAGCAAATAAATAACCTGCATTACAGGCTGCAGTTATACATCACATCTATCCTTCCGCAACATATCGATGTAATTGTTTTGCTGGTAATATGAAAAGTTAGGGTTCATCTGATTAGTCCAACTTCAGGATCAATGTGAGAGAAGATGACCATGAACCATTAAGTCCTTGCGTTGCAGTGCACGACACACAGATTTTAGTGACGAGAATAGGAAAATGGAGGATAGTAAATACGAATAGGCTGTACACATATTCCATATTTGGTACCTTAGAAAAAGTCCGAGAGATCGGAGATTTGCGAAAAATAAAACCCAAGCCACACGCAGAGACATCTTGCCGTGGGCATATTCTCGACGAGATTCGGAAAAGAGTCGGTTATTCTCTACTCGTCTAGGGGCCTGTAGTTTGAAAAAGCCCAGGTCTGCAATCAAAGACAGACTGCTGTTACCAGGCGCGTGAAGCACAATCTCAAGGCTGTCGTAGACCGACAGTTCAGCTGGTGCGGTGTTGTGTTGTAATTGTGCAGCATTGCATGGTAGTTTGTGGGTGTTAGTGTGCGCGTGTTTGTGAGCATGCCCCCGTTATGGAGGGGGATGAGGATGTTTTGGTGAGGTGCTTGCAAAGAGGATGTATGATTGGAGATGGTGGTGGAGTGGAATTGGAAGGGGCAGGAGCCATGGCCTCAGGCCCATGGAATTTGTATGACCTCGGGGATGACGCCCTAAGCTACGTATTGTCCTTCCTCTCGCCTGTGGATATTGCATCCTGTAGTCGCGTAAGCCAGCGGTTGCGTCGTCTTTGCAGGGATGAGGATAAGGTGAGTGGTGGGATTCGGATTTTTACGTTGGTCGTTTTGGATTTGTTGTGAATTTTTTTGGGTATTGAGTGATGGTGGATTATTCATGTAGCAATGGGAAACTTAGTTCTTGGTTGCGGCAGTTGGTTTTTCGAGAGTAGCTTTGTTCAATAATTAAGGAAATAGAAGCTTAAAGTTGCATCAAGATTGTAATAGGTTACTGCTGGTTGTAATTGCGTGGAATTCTGAACGAGGAATTGGTCACGCCATTTTTTTCTCGCACAGAAAGTTCCCGATTACAGATGCCCCTTTAGCTTTTTAGAAATGTTAGTTCCGAGCATTTTAGGTTACAGAGCATTTAGGTTTTTATTCGCGTTTGGATTGCTCAATGCAACTGAGGCAACCTAGCAGAGTAATGCTTACCGCAATGGGTCATTTTTAGAAGATGTCTGTAATTCAGGTCGGTAGGGCCACATCATAACTTGGACAAATGACTCATACTTTCTGAAGAGAGCATTTGGATTGACTTGAGAGAGTATCACAGCTTCAGAGAACATTGTGACACTCAGAGGTGTCATGGAAGTTAGGGTAACTTTGAGTTTGCAGAAGACGATGTGAGCTCATTTCTAGAATCAGAGTTAGCCGAGGCACTTATTTGTAAGAGAATATTATTGCAGATATGGTATCCGATGTGCGAACGGCGATTCGGGGGTGTCACAAACGTCCACGAGTGGTGGGGTCGTGGACGCATATCATACAAGGTAGTTCACTCCGTCTTGTCTCACTTCGGAAACCTCGTTGGCTTTTGGAGAGGAGTGGGCAACGGATGCCATGGATCTCTCGTTGTGTTTGAGTGGCACTCATTCAAAATTGTGGGTTACCGAGTAGTACCTGCGCGACTAGGTTCCTACAAAGTTCGCAAAGTGCCGTTCATGGAAATAGGGTGGATTGGAGTGTCGCACAAGGAAATGCCTGCCTGCCTGCTGGATCCCGATTGGGCGCAGCTAGTTCCTGAGATCCTCGGCGTGGACGGAAATGGTAGGAATGAGGCGAGTGAGCCGCATTTGTCACAACCTCTGCAGATACCTGTTTCCCCCAAATCTGCAGCAAGGAAAAATGCTTGTTCTTCATCAGGTAGTCTCCGTCTACTCGATCTTGATTGTCTCCTTGATCTATTTTCGTTGTCTCTCTGGCATTGCTCTGATGTTGAGTCTCGTCTTCTTATGAACCAGTCAAGCTTAAAAGGGCTGATTGAAGGAACCTGAAAGCTTACAAATGTGGAGTGCCGCCAAGTAGACATTCTGCAGTGCAACTGCACCCACTTGATGACATATAAGGCTGCCCCTCTTTGTGACAGGAAGAGTGAGCCCTTTCGAGGCACTTGGGTTAGACTGGACTCTTGAGGATCCTACTCCTGCTGGCCTGGTTGTTGTGGACCTCCACTTCGTAGGAAGTGAACACGTTGTCCTGGAAGAATATCAACAGGCTGTTTTTAATGGCTATCCCTTTTCGGGTAGAAAAACTCTGGTAGAGGCAGCAGCTTTGGCCTCCTTCGGATCCAGTGAAAATCTCTGCCCAACGGGAGGAAGTCCTGGACACCTTAGCCCAGCAAGCTCTGGTGGTGGCTCAGAGGCAGGCAAAAGCCCCCCCGGTAGCTTCCCTTATGAGATGTACCATTATCTGGCTAAGAAGGTAACCAGTCCCGGTGGAGAGCGGGCTGCTCGTAAGCAGAGAAGGAGAGATCGAGAGCGTGCATTGAATCAAGGCAGGCATCGTTACGAACCTGAGCATTTCGTAAAAATCCCTCACTTCTGTCCAACTACAGAGCAACCTCTTCAGGGTCTTTGGAAGGTACAGTACCTAATTAGTTGGACTATTCATTTTAGGGTATTAGCAGATGTCTGTGAACTAAGCTCCTATCAGTGCGTTATGCATATTTCTACTTGCTGTAAGGAACATTGCTCACGTTATAATTGTCGTCGTTGCAGGGTATCGGCCGCGGTAAAGGACTAGACTTCGTCGTCCTCTCCTACGATGATCATGGAAGCATCGTTTGCCGAAAGGTGGGTGACTCGTCAGGGATGACACGTAGTGGCTCTATTTGCTGGACTGCAAAAGCAGGGCATGGGATTTCTGGACCGTTGCCGGACACAGAACGAGAAGTATTTGAGTTTAGACAACACATACTTCCGTCTCCTCGTGAACTTAGAGCCCAGAATGGGTGTCTCACAGTTGATGACTCGTTAAACGAGGAAGTTGTGGAACTGCTTTGGGCAACCGTGGATGATCAACCTGGATTGAACTACAATGTTGGCGCGGGGGGCGTAACTCAGAGCCGGGTATGGCAGTACGCTAGTGGGAGGTTTGGCTTCGCCAGTGGTTCAGAAGATCGCATTATTGATTTCAGACCAATTTGTGTCCAAGACAATTTAGCTGATCTAGTGTAACTTGGGTCGGGTTGAATTGACTCTTAGCAGTAGTAGCACCAAATACTCGCGCAGTACTTGGTTAAGCAGTTCGATTCCGGAGAGGCGCCTAGCAAATAATCGTTTGCAATGTAGCATAATTGAATTACCATCGGAGGCAGCGGAGACTGCTGGAATCCCATTAATTTTAGAGGTACGTAACCAAATTGATCTTTCAATTCACAACGAAATTGCTGCTCTTCATGAGCTCTGAAAAAGCAACGTAAATATCCGGAGAAAGGCATCGGGCACAATGAGCGGCTCTATTTGCAGATTTTTTGCGAAAGGAATTACTATTTGATACTCTCAAAAGCCTGTACAAGGTGGCGGACTCTTCCAACGTCGGTCTTCTGAGGCATAGAATTTACAGCTCTTTCTATGGCCGTATCCAAAAGCCAATCTCGTGCTTCCTTTTTGCCAACACCCTGGGCTTTTATGAGCCTAACTTTTGCTGCGGCCGGCCTCTCGTACACAAGCTGATCCTCCAGTCCCAATTGTAGAGCCCTCGCTGTACATGCAAACTTTTCCAGTCGTTCTGCAGTTTTCTCAAGCTCCAAATAGAACTTTTTACATGTCGCGGGTTGATCATCTACTTTAGAACACTTGATTGCCGGAGGAATGCCTAATTCATCTGCTGCGCACCTTGTGATTTCATCCCTTGCATTAACGTTCTCTTGGTGAAAGTATTCACTTCCTGATGAAATCTTGTTTTTCAGTTTGGTTTCTAGCTCGAGTACTCTTTCGATAAGTTTTTTCTCTTGATACTCCATGGTCTTGACATTTTCATTGCAAGTGTCGGTAGAGATTTTGTTGAGCCCCTTGAGAAGACAGGTCACCCTAAACTGCGAGCCGTAAGTCTCTGGACATCCGTGTATGTTTTTTTTAGATGTCTCTTGCTTTGGTCCAACTTTCTGAAATTCCTGCATAAGTGCTGTGCCATCCTGTATGGAGGCTGGCGTGGATTTTCCCATCCTCGAGATCGTCGACGTTGCAGTTGCAGCCTGAGTGGGAGTACAATGGTCCGCGCTGAAGCTGATATTCCTAGAGCCAACATCATCGAAACCCATACTCCGTGATGCATTTATCTGTGCATCATCCAGACCACCTGTAAAAGCTAGCTCTTCCCGTTTCCTATTCAGATTCTCCTGTTCGGTGTTGGATTCACAAGACTCAAGTTCCCAAACATAGCTCTCTTCTTGGCTGCAGTTCGACGCCTGTGTCACAGGTGACTTCGTTCGGCATGAGAGCAAACCCATCGTTTGATTATAAACCCTTGAAATTCTAAGTTGCTTTTTGGCCAAAACTGATGACATGCACTTCACGTCACTTGTCGCCACCTTTTCGACAGGTTTGGCAATCTGTGTCTGCCTACCAGGCTCAAAATTCTCACCCTTGTGCTTCTTGTGCACACAGACCATTCTCAGTGGGTTGTCTATCATCTCGATGTCCAACTGGAACAGCTGAGATGTATCCATCGATTCTCCATCTGGCCTTTCGACTCCATCTGCGTTTAAGAAACACTTCTGCGTTATGACAAAGCCAACTAGAAACCCTCATTTGCACTGATTCTTGTGTACTAAGCTGATCACCCAAGTTTGAGTAAAACCATGATTTAAGTACTCATCATACGATTGCAAATATCTCGTATTTGGCATAGAAATCAAAACTAAAGGAAATCAATGCATCAAATTATTACCTGTTTTATCAGCGATTTTGAGCCTTTCCCTTGCTTTTAAAGCAATCTGTAATCTAGATTCCACTTTCACTCCTGGCCGTGATACAGACCCTGCCGTATCCGTGTTCAGCTTCCGGAGCCACGCTGTTCGACTAAACTTCCCGTGATTCGGACAGTTGGGGTCTATGCTTGCCATGTCATACTTCTCCACAACAGTGTGATTAGTGTAGGGAACGTGATCGATAGTCGGATTAAGTCCTTTAGATATCAACATCTTACCATCTGACAGCTTCTGAGCTTTTTGGAGAAAAGAGATTGGAAATCCATCGGCTGCTCCTCTGCAAGTTGGGCAGGCTCTCAGTTGTGCTAAAAGTCCTTGGGCATATTTTCTCCAAGTGGCGTAACAAGAGTAACAAACAGTGAAAGGATAAACTGTCGTTCTTTCCATTTCCTGCCAATTCTTGTATGAAAGAGTCTCTTCTCCCTAAGATTGGTTCGTAAGCATCGAAGAACTCGTAGTGGCACCCCTGTTTGCACAAACAGACTCAACTTAGACGTGATTAAGGCACATATTTCCAAATGAGTCTTGTCAGCTTCTCATTAAATATTTCAGTCCCGAAGGTCACTAGTAGTTGCAGATCTCTAACCCATGATTGTATCATGAAAGGTGTCACATATGCACGGGAGATATCCACGTCATTTGTCAACAAATATGTATCTGGAAAGTATTATGATGGTAGTAATAAAGGATCAACTGGCATGTAGCAGTTGGCGGGAGTAATCACCAATTTAAAATGTACTATTCTCTGCTCACTTGAACAGACAGGAAGAGACACAGCTCTTGAAAACTAGAGAAAACAACAGGGTTTCAAAGGACACATCACGTATCTGTGATCTGTGAGTGCACCAGGATAGCCTCGCCATTAACTCCGCTGCTTACGGATCTTACCAACGCACAAATACGTGAGGCACCTTAGTAATTTAGTGCCGACGGTTCAAAACAGAACTGTAATGCTCCACGGTTATTTTAAACAGCTCCACCTGATAGAGGAAGATGGTCGAGCCAAACTGACGAGGGTGCTTTCAGCTAAACCTTCCACACAGAGTGGTGCTCATTGTGGTCTTCTAACCATTTAGATTATATGACCTGACAAACATGCAGGCTTGAGCTATACAAACTGTTCTAAGACCATCTCAGAACCTATTGCACGCACTTACCACTACTTCAGGTGCAAACTCGCACACGGTTGATGATTCCGCAAGTATCACTATTAGAATCGAATGAAAATGCGACTGTATGTATTCATCAAATTTAACGTATTCCTGATGACTGTCAGAGTAAAACAAAACAAAACAGGTTCTTCGTTTTAGAGATCTGACTTCGCAATACCAAACTGTTACCATTATAAGGCATCCAGATACATACATCTCTTGCAAGATACACTGTTATGAACGTAAATCTCTTTTGGTAAGTCAGCTGATGTCACTAAACACCAGACCAACCAAGGAATTCATAATGCATTTGGAGGGTCTTCGAGAACATATCCAGATGACCATAGTTACCCAACAAGGTCAATCAGCTTACGAAAAGCTGTTTTTGTTGGTCATCTAAATGCAAAATACTAGAACCTCGAAATGTTGAGCTTAAAAATTCCAAAAGCCCCTATAGAACTCAAATTCTATCCAAGCCAAAGAGCAATCGACTGTCGGGTTGGTGAACAAAAGGCTGCAGCCAAGGCAAAACCGACAATATGATTAGACACTAACGTTTCACTTGCAGCAAGCTGATTAATGTATATTATCTCCCTCTACTTCAGATACAAAGAGTAGAAAAAAATTCCATGGGGCTCGGAATAGATCAAGAAAAATGACTTCCTTGTCAATCAAATTCATTGTTACTGAAAAAGAGCTCACTTCCAAGAGTTTTTGGCGAAACTTCAGCATAAGAAAAAGAAAAAAGAAAAGAAAAGCACCTCATTTCCGCCGCCTAGAGTCTTTGGACTTCTCTGTCTTGTACGCATCCAAATTCGACTTTATCCACAATCTCTTCACGACCAGGTCATCTCTTACTTTGTCATCTACACCCATTGAAAACCACGCTATTAGTTACATGTATCATCTTTCAAAATATCCAAAAACAGCTGTCTTTTCGTTTCATTTCTTTTTTTAAACTCTGTAAAACAGTCAGGCATAATCTACAATGTGGAATGATATTGGTGTTATTATAGTTGTTACTATTTCCCAACGATAATAGCATCCAGATATCATTTTCCGCCACGATAAACCTCATTCATACTCACTCATGCTTTTCCAAGTTGTCGAAGAGATTCCAAGGCTAGAACGGGTCAGATATGATGCATCAGCCCAGGTGTAAGGCATCTTCTTAATCCAGTAACGCCAAATCCACGATGCTTTCCATGTTGCCCACTGCAATATCCGTGCAACGGGATCGTATTATCCCACTAGTTAAGTTCGCTGCACATGAATAAAATCAACAGTTCATATGGATTCTGAATTTCAAATCTATAAAGGAGCTGACCTTTCCGAGTGTATACGGGAGGAGAATAAATCTGACACCCAACAGTCTCCAAACAGTGGGTCGTTCAGCTCCTGCAATCTGCAAGTCCAACTCTTTGCTCAAATCATCTGCACCTTCCACCCTGTGTGATGCTACTTCAGTTAATAAAGAAACAAAATTTTCTCTAAAACGACATGAAAGAACTTTCGTATAACCTCCATAAATTCACAAGTCCAGATCGATAAAAATTCATTACCTCAAATAAACCTGTCGAACATCCTATCAACAAATAAAAAGCTCCAAGGTCCTTTCTACCCTCACAACAATCAATCTAGTAACTAAAGGAATTAAATACAAAAAAAATAAGTCGACACAACCTCCGGTTTCTTGGAGCCTTTTTCTTGTTGGTAACTCCACCGTTACGTTCCAATTCAAGAGCTTTTAGTTTGTTCTTGTATGCTGGTGTTTGTTTCACCATGTCCACCATCTATTCAAAAAAAATCAGATTGCAGTTAAGTCACGAAAAAATCACTCAGCACACTCAGGTAAATCTGATGTATTTATGTTTGTTACCTATATATCAGACAAAACACTCAGGTACGTCTGATTCATTTACTCTCTAAAATCATGTGTACTTTTTGCACATTTCATAAACAAATCCTGATTTTTCTAAAATATTAGAGATCAGTACGATGTTATCACAAAATACAACTTGAAAATTAGAAGAATGTTAGAAGATTAATAGAATGACAATGAGATCCTCTCACCTGAGCGTGGCGGATCTTCTCGTTCAGAAACTGGAAGAACGATAATAAAACCAAAACACCAACAAGAACTGCGCGTAAATCCTGAAAGAACAACACTCGATAATCGGCTCAGCACCTTCATACAGATCTCATTCCAGATAACAAACATCAAACAATCTGTTAAAGCAATTTATATATATATATATATATATATATATATATATATATATATATATATATATATATAAGAACTAATAAGCTCCACGAGAAAAATACTGCCACATTCATATGTTTTTTAAAAAGAAAAAGAAAATGTGAAGGGATAACTTACCGCTTGCGGCCCGTAGTAAGCTTGATAATAGCGGGCCGTATTGTAAAAGAACTGCAAAGACGAAACCCCCAACTCTGAGAACTAGTCTTCAAGTCCTCAAACGACTGATGATCAATCCAGAACGGGTAGTTCGAAAACAATCCAACAAGAACGAGAATTGCCATCTATTACTACTCTCTTCAGTACAGTTGGTGAGTGCGACTTTCATTTCCTAGCCCTACGCATCTCGGGAATTGAATTCCCACCCATTTGCTTTGAATTAAATATTTTTTGACAAAGGTATGAGCAGTTGGCATAAATTGTAATACTCTCGCACAGTAATGTTCCACATATAGCAATAGAGGAAAGAAAGAAAAACAGAAAATACTCCTCAAGCAATCACAACCGTCGACGAATATATACATATATTCAAGTTGCGATTCCGGATGCATGATGCATGGAAGATAACGGAACACCCAGCTTTCACGCAGAAAACAAGTTTGCCAACAAAAGCTAGAAGCTTCAAACCTGCTCTGGATGAGCTTTGGCATAGTCATATTGTTCCCGCTTGACTTCATCTTTCAAAATCTGGTTCCATCCACGGCATTGCCATACACCAAGTCAACTTTGTAACACATAAAAGGCAAGCATGGTGAAGGAGAATAAATAAGTGATAGCCCCATTTATAAAAACATGAGGGCATAATTAATTTGTGACATGTACAACGCGAATACTACCTCATAGGCAGTTGCGATCTTTTGAAACTTGAGTTTGGTCTCTGGATCAGGATTTTTATCGGGATGACTGTACCACAAAATGTCGGAACGATTACTTTGCAGTGGGCATTAAAGCTAAGCAGCAATACTTTAGAATCGAATGAAATTATTCTTTGTTCTTCACACAGGAGATAAAATAAACAAAGATTTGATAGTCATAATCCAAGTGCTAACACACTTACTATTTAAGCGACAGTTTATAGTAGGACTTCTTGATGTCCGATTGCGATGCAGTTTCCGGAACCCTGTTCAACAAGACCACACAAAAATCCCCTTAAAACTCTACTAACTCACAAGATTGAAATTTTGCGGCTCTTCTCGTACTTTTAGTTCAAGAATTCTCGCTGGAAGGGCTTACTGGCACTGGCAGGTTAGTGATACTGCACAATTTCCTGACTAATCAGTTGCAAATCATTTGAAAAATCAGGTCAACAATCATGGCCGTCAAACACGTTTTAACTTCTTTTATTTAAGTATAAATATATATATATACACACTGTATGATTACAAAAAAGAAGAGCCGAGACTACCTCCGCACCTCCCTCTGTGCAGCAAAACCCTAGACCCATACAGCAAAATCAAACCCAATCCATAATCTGAATCCAGAATCCTCGAAATGAAATCCGACCCAGTTCACAAAACACTCAAAACCGCAACACGAATCAACACCACATCGAAGCAGAGGGAGCTAAGTGACAACCCAATTGAAATTCATACCCCAGCAGATCATAGCAGTCATCTTCTTCACAATAGATAGCTGTCCCGGGGAGAAACTGCGACACCAATGCGACGAAGAGGAGGAGCATTGCTGCGCCTCGCCATCGCGCAGCCGCCATGGCGTGGGATCAACCGAGTCTGGGCAATCGGCCCACAACACCACCACCTGAAAAGAGAGTTGGCAGAGGGCCTTGAAAGAGGAAGAAAAAGAGAAAAAAATGTGGGGGAAGGGTTGGCTGTGGAGATGGCCCCCCAGAAATAAAGTCCACTTTTTCCACCATGTAGATTACAAAGCACGTTCTATAGCACACGACTAATGCACTGTTCCCTCTACTGATTCCCAATTCTAAAGTGAGCTCTCGCATTAATGCTCTGGATGGAGGGGGGGGAACAAAACAAAACCAAACCAAAACCATAGCTAAAATCTAAAAAGACACTAACAAACCTGCAAGTAAACCTGCAAGTAAATCAGCAAGTGATGTGTTTTGTAATACTGAAAACAGACCTTGAATGTGGTCTTAGAAACTGTTGCCGTATTGATTTTTTTATGCTAAATGAGAAGGTGCGTTACCTTCAGAACGCAGTAATCTGTAACACTGTTCATGCAATTAAGCCGCTCTTGGAAGCATTATGGTGTGAGATTTACGTTTAGGGTTTCATCACTTTGGTGGTTGCGAAATTGGCTCATGTATATATCCTGGTTTGAAATGGATGAGAATCCTGAAATTGGGTTTGCTTGTTCTTGACTTTTGTGTGATACAAATCTTTAACTTATTGTGTTGATTTTTGTTTTTTTTAAATCAATAGAAGGCCTTTAAGTAGCCAACTGTAGATTCCTGTAGAGAAAATTAGTATGTGCATAATCCAACACAACTACTACTTGAGTACTATTTGTTTGTTTATTCTACTTCAAATGTTTGAACTATTATGATCCAAACTTAGAGCAAAAATTCTCCTTTAATAAGTAAATTTTAATATACAATAAATTCAATTTTTTACATTGTATAAAATGTAAAATATTTTAAATTATTCATGATGAGACAAATTTGAAATAATACAAGCTTATATAAATTTGGAGAAAAAATCTCCTTCATTCAATATGTTTATACAAATGTATTTATGTAGATGAAGGATGAAGAATGAAGAATTTATCAATGCAAAAGAAAATCATCTCATAAACAAAACAATGGTATATTAAAAGAACTCTTGAAGAATATTCTATAAAAAAAAAACAAGAAGGTTGCAAGAAAATAATGATAATAATAATTATTGATCTTGAATTTAAAGTAAGGAAGAATTTAATCTTGAATAAAAGTTGGAAGATGTGGATTTAAAAAATTAAAAAAATGACTTTAAAGTAGAGAATTTAGTTGCAATTAAGGATAAAATAGATAAAAAATTTAGAATGAAAAAAAAAATCCATTGTAATAAATCTTTATAATTAATGGCTTTTTAGCTTAAAGTTTTTTTTTAACCAAAATATTTATTTATTTATTTATTTATCTTTTATCAAAAGATAGTTGGGGCAAAAAGACTCCAAAGTCTTCTTTTCTTTTCTTTTCTTTTCCATTCTTTTCTATTCTTTTCTATCTGATTATAAAAGGTAGAAAAATAGATATTAAATAGATACCAAAGTGATATTAGCAAAAGTCAAACTTAGAATCTTTAGCATATCTTTTCTAAGTCTTTTCTACTTTTTTTCACCAAATCTTCTAATTCTATAAATGTCTTGTTTTTTCTTTGCTTAATATAATTAAAAAACTGTGCTTTTGCCAAAATAATTCTTCTAAAAATATACTAAAGCCTCTAACATAGGTTTTTTAAACATTATATATTTTAATTTGCACATAAATTTTTATAAAACATTTGTAATAAGCATTAACATGTGGGTTAGATTACAAGTACAAATAGTAGTAATAATATATGGATTTAATAGGCAATAAGAATTAAATAAATTATTATTTTTAAAGATTAAAAGAAAGAGGAAGGAGTAAAGCTACAAGAAAAGCAGCACAGTTAGGCTTTCATAGTGAACTTAGTATTTTGCAAGTACAATTGTTGTTGTTGTATCTAGCAACTAATCAATAGTAGCATTGCATTATTGCAACAAAGAAACTAAGATGCTACCTTTTATAAAAATAAAAGATAAAACCTTGATTTTATTGTTAAAGATTAGTTCTACAAAACTCAATTGATTTTTAATCACATTGAACTTATTAATGTAATTAGCAACATGCATACCTTTTCTCATCTTTAGATTAAATAAACAATACATCAAATGTACCTTGTTAGAGATAGAAGGCTTTTTGTACATATTTGATAGTGCCTTCATTATATTTATTGTAGTCATCTTGTTGTTGATGATAAATGCAACATTCTTTGCTAATATTAAAAAAATCATATCTAAAGCTTGACAATCTAACAAATCCTAATCTTTTTGCTTCATTGCAAATAGCTTTTTACCATCCAATGATTTGTAAAGCTTCTTCTAATACCAATAGTCTTCAATTTGTATCTTTCAAAAACTAAAATCCTTCCTATTAAATTTGTCAATCTTTATTTTTCCTTCATTTGAAGCCATTGCTCCCACTCAAACACTTGAATCAATATTTCTAGTATGGTAATCTCAAAAAATCAATACAAATAAGTACAAATGCCATCACCTATTGTATATCTAAACCATAGAAATAAAGAACCAAACTTTGATACCAATTATTAGAAATTCACTTATATAATAGAATAAGAAAGTCATTGTAAAATAAGTTTACAAAACAAAATCTTAGAAATCTGCATGAATAGGATTTTACATAGAAATTAGTTATTTTTAGAAAAAATCTAATCCATTCAAAGATATATATATATATATATATATATATATATTGTTGCTTTGTCCTCAAAAACCCTTCCAAAAAACATTGCTTCATAATCCTCCCTTTCCAATTGACTAGATAGCAAAGCCATGATAAAAAAGACTACCACCTCTCCTAATCATTTCTTCTATTGGTTAAGGATATGAATTGGGCTCCACACATTTATACAAGTTAGCTACATATTGCACATGTTGAAGACTTGTGGTATAAATTAACTATGTGGTGCACATATAAGAAAGTTGTATTACAAGTCAAAGACATGTTTTGCAAGTTGGATATATATTACAAGTCCCATGAAATGTTGTCACATAACTCCTAGTTAGTATATATGAAGCCAAGAGTGAGGCCTTCCTCACTCTTGTCAACATCTTTTTGTTCTTAGTCATGTTTCAAGAGTCTTTAGTCTTCTAGTCTATAATAATATCTATTTTAGTATAATGTTATACCAATTTTAAGTAACTATTTACTCTCTTCTAGTGATACAAGAGTGTATGAAACATTTGGTTCTATGAGATTCATTTCTTTGATATTAGGAGAATCAAAAAAATCTATGTTAAGAATTTTCTTTTTAAAACCATATACATCGATGATAAAATTATCCTTAGATTTGCATCTTTGTATATTACCACTCTATTTTAGCAAAAAGTTATGATAACATACTCTAGATTAAAAATCCCAACTAAATTAGATTTTATATTGATTTATTATTTTTAGAGGAAATTGGAACTTATAAAACTTTTTATAGCAAAAAAAATTAATCTTTTGGAAAAAAGCTCCAATGATGAATAAATTGGCATTTGAAATGGTCAACAAAATGTTTTGAGATATAATCAAAAAATATGAGTTATTTATATGTATTATTTTTGTGATATCAAGTGATTCCAAACAAGTCTTTTTTGTGGTTTTAAAAGAAACTAAATCAAAGTTTAAGTCATCTGCAATAAATGAAAGTCCAACCTTTGGAGGTGTATTGATATTCTCTATTTGTAAAAAAATATGCATATAGCTATTGCACTTGCTATGCATGCTAAATTTTTGAGTAAAATGCTTTCAAATTGGCTTCTACTTTAGGTGAAAATTAAACTCATGGCTATAGAAGAAGATTATGTTGATTGTCCACTTAACATGCTTTAAAGTTAGCAAGGTATTTTGGACTTAATTGACAAGACATACCTTAAAATATAAATTGCTCCATGAAGCAAGGAATTTCTTAGCAAATGTGTTATTTTGGCCGCTAGAAATGATGAAGTTGCTATGATAAATAAAAATATATATTAGAAGGAATATTACAAGAGAATTGAGATTAATTAAGCACAAGCAAGGTTTATAATATAGAAGGCTTGGATATGGTTCAAATAGAATATATAAACATATTGCAAATAAGTCGGTGGCAATATCATAAGTTCATATAAAAAGTTGACACATTTGTAATACTTTTTTGTAATCTAAACATTTTACAAATTGAGTCATTGAAGTCAAGGTGTTGATAGGAAAAAAAGTTCGGCCAGATTGTATTCCTTTTTGGAATCATTCTAATTACTAATAAGTCATATTCTTCTTAGCTTTTGAATTAGAAACAATTCTCCTTGCAGATGGCCTTTGCAATGACAATAAATAAATCTCAAGGATATGCAATGAAGTATGTTGGGCTAAATTCAGCAAAAAATGTCTTCACCAACGGTAATTAAATATTCCATTCTCTTGCTCAATGGCTCCAAAAATCATAATTTTTTTTACTAGAAAGCAATGTAAAAGAGGATGTTGGATTAAAATGCAATTTCATTTACTGCAAAGCACTTCAACAACATTGAGAACAATTAAAAAAAACTTCTGTTGCATTAGTTTGTATCGAAATGTTTTATTTTTTTTATTTTTTTTTATTTTAAATGTTGCCCTTTTACATATGTTGCCTTATATTCTATTAAATGTTGTTTTGTGTTCAATAGCACAGATTTCCGCTAATATGATAGATATAAGCATACTTCAAAACATATGATTTAATGCTGATTACTTCAAACTTAAAATCCAACACGATATGGTGATTTCTGTAAACAAATCTCAAAACGTTGATTTCGAAAACTGATAAGTAGATTGTCAGGTTTAACCCCATGCAGAAATGGACAAGACACATAGCAGCAAGGACGGCGACGGCACCGAGGAGCACAAAGTCAAAGCCGCAATGCAAAGGAAACAGTGTCGCCACCCCACCCATGCATAAGACAAAGCATTAATTCTGAAGCCAACACAAGGTTGTGCACACATCGTGGTAGTATTACAGCAGCCGCAGTGCATCGGCACCGTTACAATAGCAGCCGCACAGTACAGCCAGCGATACTGCCTAAGTTAGCTGCCCCGTTTTTGTTTTCGGACAGATAGATAACTGCAGCGGCATGTCAGCGACTCTAACCAAGAGTAGCATGATGGCCACAATTTCGTGCCACAAGTCCATCTAAGGCAGGTCTCGCGTGAGAGGAATGCTAGTAGCTGGAACCCACTTGTCAGCTTGCGTGAACGGCACTGCCTGATACTTCTGCGCTACACTTTTGTCTGTAATCTGTTTCGACCACCATACGCGCTTCGCAGTGTTGGCCCCGGGGCCGAAGTCTTGCCACTCCGCGAAGAACGACGTTTTGAGGCCATAATCGGATGTGTTCCATGGCAACCAGCCTTCTGGGTCGATGTGCTCCATCAAGTTGCACTTGAGGTTCACGTGGGTCGAGTATGGCTTCCACGGTCGGCCGAGGTAGGTCTTGAACGTGGCTTTGTTGGCTTTGAGCTCCGGCGTGCCGTCGAATGTGCACGACTGGAACGACAAGCCCGTGGCTTGCCCGAGATCGGTCTTACCCTGGGCCGTGTACGTGTTTTGTTGCCCAACCAGAGGGGGTTTCTTCGCGATGATGGTGCAGTTCTGGAAGGCGACGGCGCCGTTGCCGAAAATGAAGTCGACGGTACCCATAACGGTTAAATCTCTGTAGTATTGACGGAATGTGTGGGTGTAGAGTGTGTCTTGGAAGCCATCGAAGACGCAATCGTAGAATGCAGCCATGTCTGCACTTACTCGCATTGCCACAGCTTGGAAACCGTCCGCACCTGCTGTGTTTCGAACTGTGATGGCCTTGCCGATGAATCCTGGACCTTCAACAACTGCAGAGGCCACATGGGATGTGAGTTTCTGGTTGGAACCACTAGGCAAATATGAATGTATCATCAAGATTGATCACTAGAAAGCAAAGTAAATGAGGAACCGCTTAAGTTGAGAGTTATAGCTACGCACTTAGAGAGGCCGATAAGAAAGTGGTCATCCCAGGGGTTTTGCCGACGCTCTTGTCGCCAGTTAAGATGGTTTTCCCAACCCCGTCACCGATGAACATGAAGTTGGTGGCGTTTTGGGGCACAATGACCTGCTCATTGTACACCCCAGCTTTGATGCGAATGACGTAGCGCTTTGCGGTTGCACTCCCACTTTTCCGTGCATGCTTGATTGCCGATTGGATGGACTTGTATTTTCCCGAACCGTCCTTTGCAACAACAACGTCGGATGGGAGATCAGCGAAGAGGGACTTCTGCTGTTCACTGCTCATCCAGCTAGGGTAGCTCGTTGAACTCTCTGCTTCTGAAGATGTCACAAATACGCGAGAGTTTTGAATAGGAGTGAAATTATCCTCCAAGTTGGAATCAGCATTTGCGCCCTTGGAATGTTTCCATGATAGCAAGTTGGATCCATAAATGGACAGAGCTTCAACGAATGCCAATGCATTACTCAGGAGCTCCTCAGTGTGATGCTTCGTCTCGACGATGTGGGATTCAAGCGCACTGGTCTCCACGAGCGCATCAATGCAAGTTGTGTGAAACTCCATGGCTGCACTCAGTCTTGTCTTCAATGTCTCGAAAGGGTATTGGGAGACATCAGAACCCAATTCACTGAGCATCTCAAGAGATGCCTCGAGCTGCTCAATTGACGACATAAGCGTCTGCTGGCAGACCCTCGATCCTGGAAACCCAATCCCATTGTTGCCCTTGTGTGCACGAACTGCCGTCAAAGTATTCCTCACTCCCTCGGAAGCACTTGAAAGCACGATTCTAGTCAACTCTTCAGGCTTTGAGGAGTGCGCCCGGTGATACGGCAGCAGCGTCTTCATGCACGTCTCGGGGTGGAAAGTCACCCCGCAAGCAGCATCGAAAACTTGCAATCCGGCCAGCTGAGGGGTAATTATTCCAGGTTTTCCCTGCAGGCTGTTGCTTGCTGCCAGGAGAACGATCACCGAAACTACTGTTGCAACGCCAACTACAATTCTGACCCAGTATCTTTGCACATCTACCTCGGATCTGGCACTCCCCCCCAGTAATGGTGCAATAGCACCATCCAATCGAGCCGCCATCTTAATCCAATGCCTAAAATACTCAACCACCCAAAGGTTTGTATAGTCTCCTGAATTCCTTTTCTTCACAAATCCATTCAAGTCATTCTAAGACGACTGCTAGAGCTCACTATATCTTCTCAGATATCCTCCCCAGAGCTCCTTTCAACACGCAACCTGAAATCTGGGCGGTGCAATTCAGGCAAGGATTGGCAGGATTGCAGGCTGCAATGCCGGTGCCAACCACAGCCTTAGGATGCCACTCCTCAAAATCGTCAAACTAATTACAAAAATTTCGTTTCTTTTCACCAATTGAGAAATAACCACTGACTTCCGTGACAAGGTCTTGGCGACATACATTAAAAAAATCAGAAGCTACCCTGAAAAAAACAAAAAAACAAAAACGCAGACCTTCTACAACTGAGGGGAGATCATGAAACGTGACCTGAAAACTTCGCAGACGTGCTGAACCATTTGCAGAGACTAAAGGAGAGGCTGGTGGTACACTCAACTTGCAATTCACCTTACAGTACATGAATGTACTGTGCAGGCTCTTTGATCCGGTGGTCACAGCTACAATGCTTTACGACCTTGTGAATTGATTGACTCAGCAAGGTCACTACTGACCTAAGAACGATCGTCACATTACCAGTTCCTATAAGCTTCATCACACACACCGTTTCCACTAAACATGAGCTAAGCAACGCGGCAGTGGTCTCACGTAGTTAACGCAGTCGAAAGCAAGTTGCAAGTACTTGCTTGTGTCCTCTTGGAGGCTGTGCACACACACAAGGGAGAAGTCGAGCAAAAGGTTTCAGATGTGCAGAAAAATGGCTTGAGAACGGAGGCTTCGATCTGGCGCTGCGTGGAGTAGAAAGGAGGATCTGACGACTGGTAGCCAGGTTTGAGTTACAGCGAAGAGCGGTATTTGGAAGCTTTGCAGTTGGATAAACCAGTCATTAGTGTGGCTGCAGCTTTTTACAGAGTGCTGCCTTAACTGCTGCAATTTCAACAGCATCCTGACAAGCGCCTATCACAGCTTAGCGGATGGCTATGAAGCCATCCATTCTTTTCTGTTTTTAATTTTATGAATGGGATGTCAAGTTCAGATAATGGACTTTAAATGAATTTCGCAAATTTCTTACTAACAACTGGACCTCTTCATCTTTCACCACTTCACGTTAATACATCAAAACGTTTCTATTGACAAGTTTCCCGCAGTTAGTTTCTGAACAAATGACATGGTATTACAACTGATCCTTCCATCTTCAGAGATGTTTTTGCATTACAGCATGTGCATTTCAAAATGTAATATTTGTTCAAATTAGACCATCAGAGTTTTAGAAGACTTTGTGGGTAGTTCGGCAACAGCAGTAGTTGTCAGTTAGTGATAAGAGTCCTCGAGAACAGCCATCTGATACATTTCAAGGATTTCTTTTGATCTTATAACCTCCTTGTAGATTTGGAAGTCAACTCAACACACTACATTTTGCTTACCAAAAAATCCTTTTTCAGAATTTTGTGTGTGTTTTTTATGACTTAGCCTTGTTGTCATCCTGGACTCAGAAAAGACGCAAGGTCTTAATTTCTGCTCATGCACTTGTCCTGATGAAAGAACCAGTCAGTTGGTAACATTTACTCGGGACCTGAAATGTTTCAATTTTTGGTAATTTGGGAGATGTTCTTTCCATGAAGGCAGGAAATTGTCCCATGAACAATGCATGAAGAAGCCTCTTTTAACTGGGTTTACATTTTTTTAAATCAACCAATAGGTCATGATTGGAAAAAACGAGGTGGAATGTATCTTTTTCCAAGGTGATTTTTACAAAAGTTGCTTAACATGTTTATTAAAATTCTAAACATATAAGGTAGAGAAAGATTGTAATTTTTAATGTTCCCGTGACCATTATACTTGGTAGCTTAAATTTTTTACAATTGCCACAATTACGATATAAGATGCCACATTTATAATCACAATGAGAAAATAATTTATTACATGTGATATCTCATTCTCACTTTGTATTATCTCCAAACACGAATGTTTCCAAAAACAACTTTTTTTTTTTCACTAGACAAGAACGTCATTTGAGTTTAAACCATTACCTTTCAAAATGAGTTTCTTAGTGCAGTACAACCACTAATCTTGCTGATTCATGCAGATCAAGCTGATAGATTGCGTATGTTTTCATTCAGAGTACACTTCGATGACATGAGAACACGAGACAAACTCTACATTCGCCAACGGATTTGAATATTCCCCCAAGGAGTACATGTCACCTGACAACGTTTGACAAGGTTTCAGCTGGATTGCATTTAACTAGAATATACCTGTTTCGTTTCAAGCCTATACTGCAATGTCTCTCACGAACATGCAAGGTTGCTTGTTCTCATGAATTTATCTAGTTCACTTCTGGATAACGCAATAATTTCATGTATATTTGCTGAGACACGACCACATTGCTTTACATGCTTCAAATACCAAAACTGTCAAATGATCACCAACTTTCATACTCTGGATTCTTAGTGTCGGCTAGAGTGACTCACCTGTGGACGTCGCAATAAAGTCCATCAAGAAAAGGTGATCTTTTAACTGTGTCCATGAAAGTCGAATGACAAATTTCAGTAGAGAACTTCGATGTGAAGTCACACAAAGTGAGACTACAACCATTCGCTTGAGATATAAACGGAACATTGTTCCACTATGGGAATAAAACCCAACGAGACATTGAGGGTGGATGGAAGTCGTCGATTCACCAGAAGGCTATGGAGCTTAAAGATAAACACGAAAGCAATACACAACTAGTCCCCAACAGATTCATTAACATTTAGATCACGTACAACAGCAACTAGCTCTTTATCCCTTTCTAAATACTTCTGAAACAGGAGCTCTGTAGTGCTAAGCATACGATTTAACGACCAATCAACACCACTAGATTTAAGTGCTTCATATCTGGGTTTTATACGCTTCTCCAAACTATATCCAAAATACTGGGGAAACACAACTATATCTGCGTTCGACTCGCGGCCCATTTGCAGAAAGTACATCCACTTGCTCCGTAAATTGCCCTCTATATTCAACCCTAAAATCTGTGGAAATCGAAGTATGATAGTATTGATCTCTTCCTTACTGTAACCGACGTCTGTGAAGAATTGAAGTGTCGGCTTGATGTTTTCCTCTAGGCTTAACCCAAGAATCTGAGGGGAGCGTAAGACTAGCGTTTTCACGTCCGTTATCCCAATGCTGTAGAAATGATTTAGAATGGGTCTCAGCTTCTCCTGAGTGCTATACCCAACGATGTGTGGAAACCTGGTAAGTATCCTACCTGATTCCTCGGGAGACATCCCTATGTCAGCTAAAAACTTCACCACCTGATCAACCTTGGCAGCGCTGTAAGTCAAGATATGTGGAAATGAAGCCAGTATCTTCGGCCATCTGTCTGGTTCCACGCCAAGACCTTCAAGGAGTGCCACCGTCGGCTTTATGTTATCTAAACTGCACCCAAAGAGTTGCGGCCTCTTCACGGCAATCTTCGGGACGTCACTTTTGGGCACGCCCATGATAAGCAAGAAATCTACAACAGGCTTAATTTTACCCTCCACGCTGTAGCTTGAAATCATTGGATATCGTGACACAAGATTTTCAAGCTCTTTGGGAGAAATTCCCAAAATTAGAAAATATTCCAAAGCGGGTCGAAGCTGTCCATCTACAACAAATGCTTCAAGCTTGGGATAATCACCAAGGTTTAACTCCCACAGGGCTGATGAAGTAAACGTGCTCTGTAAACGTTGCAAATCCAAAAGTTTCGACTTCGCTGGTGGAGGATCGGGGAAGCTTAACAGTACATCTACAAGTCCATCCTTGTGTTGAGCTCCTAGGTTTTCCAAGAAAGATCGTAACGTGTTCCTCACTTCTGATGTCGTTGGCTCTCTCCCTAGCAAACCAGCCAGTTGGTAAGAAAACGAGCAAGAAGTTTCAGCAAAAGGCTATTACTATGCAACACATACTTTTACTTAGAGGTATGACACACTGTAGCAATCGTCGACAATAGATGTAGTCAAAATTACTTTGTTCTGTTTTCCGCAAACATACTAAAAAATCATGAAATAATAAAAATAAAGAAAAGAAATAAAAAAGACACTTCGAATCAACAAAAAAAACATTAACAGCAACTGCAATTCAACATCCCCCTCCAAGAATCAAATTGTATTACATAATTAGAGAAGTAACATGCACCTTTAAGATAACGTGCGCGGTGAACCGTGCGCAAGAGGGATAGAAGGTGGGTAATGAGCCGGGTGGATTTGTTCACTACACGAGCAGCGAGAGGACGGCTTACACTCCGAGATCGCAGGAAGTCAACAAGCATGGCTTTTATCTCTTCTCGCTCACCAACCATTTGTTTAAGGTCCACAAGCTCCCAGCTTTTCTGTCCATTAGCTGAAAACATTTTGGAAGTGTCACAACACAGGATAAAAGCTGTTATTCAGATGCTTAATATCATGCATGCGTTCGCTGTAAAAATAGTGTCAAAGCCTGATTTCATGTTCAAGCGCGTTTCTCTCTTATGTTAAAAAACCATTCACTATTGATACCGTTGCAGACTTCGAAAGTCGGGACTTACGAGAAAGCAGTAAACAGGAATTTCAAAACAAATCCAGTCACTAGCAAGGTTAGCAATTGAAACTAGAATTAAATAATCCGGGACACGAATTTGTCCACTGAAAAACAAAAAACACTATATTTTCAGACATTCTCCGTCACTCATAAACTTTCGAAGACCATCACTACACGACGTCAGAAGAGATTACGTGGCACTTCAATTGCTTGCATGAATACTACCCCTTAGATCGCCCATTTCAGAGTACTTTTTGCATTTTAAGATTGATAAGCAAGAATAAACATCTTGTATGCAGAAATGATTCTGAGTACAGCAAATGGGAACAGCAAGCTTGGATACGTACAGTTTTTGAATAAGCTACAATTTCTTCGTAGAATTAACATATCCCCACTCGACAAAATTATTGCTGAATGTTTGAAATTGCATCGAAGATATTGAGATAATGAGAATATTTATACCGATTACAGAGGGTTCAACATCTGAAAGTTGGAAGTCTCCAGAAGAGCTCGACATCGCATGTCTACCAAGCGAAAATCCGGAGACCTTAAAGTTTGACCCCGACCCCGACCCCGACCCCGCTGTTGCTCCACTCCGAAGAGCCATACCTGCTATTCGCAATGTGCAAAGTATCAATCACAAATGTGCAATATGTAAAAGCCCAGATCGTGCCTCCGTTATGTGTACAAGACTATTGAGCAGTAATTCAAACTCAAGCGGAACTTTATTCAAGGACTTCCCCAGACTCTAACCACTTCCCCATACAGTTGGGAACAGTGAGTACTATCAGAACAATCTTTTCGAATGACAACGACAGAGTAAGGCTGCATTTGACGTGAAGCACATGAATTGCTCAGCCCATATCCTGCAACTATTACACCGAAGATAGGCACCATGCTCAACAAGAACAATAATATCTAATTTCACAAAACGGTAAGGCCCGACGTAAACCCATTAGACAAAATCTTTGAGACCGAAACAAATGCTTCAAAGCTTAAATACATAAGAAAATCGTAGGCTTTCGAAACCAACAAAATTCCACAAACTATGGCAAAAACGTAATAATCATGATTGATGGTTTGTTACAGAACTGACGCACAGTATGTTCTCAGGGGAATCCTTCACATCTTTCTCATTTAAAATCACCGAAGTAGAAAAGCAAAAGGAATTCAGACCTGAGAATGCATTGTTGTGAGCGACTCGCAAAGCCTCATCAAAATTGAGTGCTTGAAAAGACGCATTGATGCCTATAAACGCCATCTCAAAACGCTACTTGAAAACTCGTGGACTCGCAGATTCCATGCCCTGCATTGAGAAACGTGCCCTACGTGTCAGAATCCAACACCCGGTCTAAAATTACAAGAGATTTTATGAACCTTTTCACCTTCCGTATTGTAACCCTACCAGAAATTATTTATTCTCTTCAAAAGCAAAACAACCCTTCAATTTCACAACATAAACACCTTAGTCAGCAACAATTAATGAACCTAACGCACACCAATAGACCTCGTTCTCACAGCACTAGAAAGCTACTTCCAGCCAGTACCTATAATTCCAAAATGAAGCACAGCATTGGTCCTCCAGCTGCCTGCAACACTTCCTCCTGATTCTCAGATTCACAATTCTCTGAAACTCACAATCTCCTCCAAAACCATTATCGCGCTCTGCAAACGACACTTCGCCCTCTCAATTCAATTCTCAGGGAAGTCAATGACAGCACAATACCGCTCAGAGTGTAAAGAATCAGAACACACACATTGTGAAACTTCGGTACCCGTAAATGCAAAACGTCTACAAATGAGCCGCGTCAAGAGATGTTCAACGAAATTCACCTGTGCAAAGTGCATCGGCCTTGCTTCACGACGGCATGTCTGCAATTCACGCGCTGACAAGCGCGTCTAACAATCTTATTGCTCCGGCGAGCCACATTGGCGTAAGTACACCATTGGATTTGCGACAACGAGCAGCTCCAGTCTGCTACTGATTAGGTCGAGTGTGGACTGGATATGGAGCACAAGCTCGACAAAGGATGACACTGGAAGTTTCGGGGCCCATCCACGTCCACCGCGACGAATTATCGAGGACGAGTGTCTTCATCGTTCGTCGAACGGGCCTTCTTCGTCCACGACGGGGAAAGTGTGGCTTTTTGAAGTGAAAGTTGTCCCACCATGAGACCTGTCATTGAAATTACTTTAAAAGTATAAACAAAGTAAAAGTGTTGTAGGTAATATGTAATTGGTTCAAGTATAGTGAACGTGTTAATAGAAAAAAATAACATCACGACGTACCACTGTGTACAGTCCAATTCTCTTAGATATTTTATTTATTTGTATATTAGAAGATATATCCCTAAATTTAACAAAAATATCTAATAAATTAAATTAAAATATATTTTTTGATCGATTTTTCCCAAGAGTCGTTCTTTTCTGTAAAAATGGATTCTTGTGATACTGTTTTCACAGTTAATGGTGTTACATCGAAATTAATTATTTTGGTTATGTAAAAAATAATTAAAACAAACGCAAGAGTATCATCCTTAAAGCAATCAGTCTGATGATACATTCCTTTTTTGACATAACCAAGAAAAAAATTATAAAGGTGATCATCAAAGTTCCTTACCTGTGAAAATTATTAGCAATAATAATAATAATAGTAATAATAATGAAAAGTGCAGTTTGTTGGGGAAACTTTTATAAACAAATAAAATATTAAAAAACATATTTTAACAAATAAAAAACGAATAGGTATTTAGCATTCAATTAAACATTGAAGAACATAACTGGCATTGCTACCATCTGTTATCAATGATTGGAATAACATATTTAAATTCAAAAAATAAACCTAACAAAAGGTCTATTGTTATGGTTTAAAAAAACAATAAAAACAATATTAACAATACATTGTTGATATAACTGCAACGACAACAATAATGTTATCATTTTTCGAAATTAAAACTTTGTGATCAACTGTAAAATTTTAAAAACTTCCAAAATCAGGATATTTAACTATTACAATTTTATATATAAATAAATAAAATTATACAAGCATAAATGTATTTGTGTCTGTAAAGAGATATATATATATATATATATATATATTCTACTCTTCATGACACATGTATATTTTTTTAAAACAAACTATCAATATGAGTATTATTGTTTTTTTTTCATAATTACATTATATAGTGATCTATCAACACTCAATGTTTATATATTAAAATCTACAAACACATCAATGGCATGTAATTTCAACTGAAAACTACCTTTGCAACGTATGACAATATTTTCAATTAATTAATAATTTGAATTTGAAATAATGCATCGAATCAATCATTGATGTGTAAATGATTTACTACTAATACATATCTCAGGTGATATTCAATAATTACAAACTTTTCAAGAATATTATAAAAATCTTGCAAAAATAACTTCACAGTTTATACATGTCAAAAATTACATAAGTAAATTATCAGCTTTTTATATTAAAGTATTTTTAAAGTTTTGATGCTTTTCAACCTCATAAGTTTATTCAAGACTAGAAACAAATTTTACTTATATTTGAGGCCTTCTTTATGATTTAATTGATTTATATATAAAAAACCCTCCTTCTTTATTATTTTTATTTCTATTTCTATTTCATTATTTTATTATCAACGTGACAATGCTTTGTCGAATAAATTCTTTTGGTTTGCATTTGATCTTCTAAATTATCTTAGATACATTTGTAATCCAGATGTAATTACTACCCATGAATTTTCTAAGGATGTCATTAGAAATGTCTAAAAATTTACTTAGAAATAATCAATTAGTGTATTTATAAATTTTATTAGACTATATCAAAATGTTTTATACAGAATAAGATATAGTCCTGTTAAGCAAGCTCTTATGTGAAACCAAAGGGGAATCTCAAGCAAGTACCTCATGACCTTTAGGAACTTTCAATTTAAATAAAATGAACTTCAAAAGTTCATGATTTTTAAATAATGATAAATGTTAATAATCATATATCAAAGATATGAATTTATACAATGTTTTTAAACAGTAATTTACATATCCATAGTAAATCACAAAAATATATTAGAAAGAGACATAATTCTAGAATAGCATTACTAAGTATGGAAATATGGAAAGTTTTAATCCTAAACTAGAATGCAAGTAAAGCATCAACAAGATGGATGATGGCCTTGATTTTGTTATTACATATACTAGCTGATAAGAAGGTCATGTAGAAGTTTTAGAAGAACTACAAAACTTGCAAAACCAGTGTTGAAGTTGAAGGATGCTTCTGCATTCTATTCCTAAATCTTGACAAAAAAAATTAAAAAATATTCTATGTCCATTGGCACTTTGAAAGATGCTTATAGATTCAATCTACATCTAAAAAGCTTCTACAATGTTTTGCAAAAGTATGTTGTCTATCCAATCTATTTCTATTTAATTTTATTTACTTAAAGAAATTAAATGTTAGTAATGCCATGTGATGCTGTATAGTTATTCTACTACATAGCTATCAAGATTTGCTACGAATTCTTCAAAATATCCTTTTGTGTAGTGTAATATTACATAATATTTTGCCACTTAGTCATAAGCTGCACTTTTAAGAGTAAAAAATAGGAATTAAAAAATTTGGATGGTACCAAGTGCAATAATGGCTTCTGTATATTATACCTTTAAAATATACTATATATATAAATATAATTTTTAAAATGTTAAAATATATACACAATTTTTAAGAAACTACACAAAATGTCGAATTTAAAAAATATATAAGTATTATTTTTATTGGAATAAAAAATATTAATAACTAAACATGACAAAATTTGGCAGCAACCGAGATAGTAGTAGATGGTTATTCAAATGTAAAGAGGTAAAGAAATAAAAAGACATTTGCAATTTTTGTTCTTAGTATTATAAAAAAAGATTGATCATCTCAAATTTTATGAAAAATATCAGATCAAATATCTCTTGTACCTCTACAGATTTTTGAGACTTGATATCAATGGTACAACTTGACAAAAAAAAAAAAAAAAAAAAAGAAGGGGGAAGAATTTTTATAAAAAGAAAAAAAGAAAAAAAGGAAGAATTTTTACAAAATAGTAAAATAAAAGTAACAGATGCATTTTTGTTAAAACTCTACAAGATAATTAAACATTTTTTAAAAATAAAAAATAGCCCATAAAACACTCAGTTATTCAAATTTAAAACAAAGAAAGAAAGAAACTGAAAATTACCCTAATATTGCTAATGTATATTACACATGTGAAATTCTCTTTATTTATTTATATATATAATTGGAATATAGTTTTATTAAAATTAATTTAAAGATTGAAAAATTATCCAAGTATGTATTTGTGGTACATTATTCTTTTAGCAATAAGTTCTGTTATAATAAGTAAAACAAATTATGAGTACTATATGTGTGTATATATATATATATATGTATGTGTGTGTGTGTGTATCGTACAGCATATACTAAATACTATACTATTAAATCAGGTCTAAAAGGAATATATAGATTTTCATGACGAATATTAATATCCAATACTAACATTTTATGTATTTCTGAATTTTGATTTTTTTGGTGTTTTATAAATGCTTTTGAATTTGATTCAAGGATTATTAGCAAACATAAAGTCTTTTTAAGATTAGAGTCGTCTAACATTGTACATTCAATTCAAATTGATTGATCTAATCCAGAATAAAAAGATACTGTATCATAATTAACGCTGAATATTTTAAACAACAGGCCATATGGTTGAATTTTTTTTAATATTTGTGTACTCTAAATTCTTGTTTTTGATGAAGGAATTGAATTTTTCCTACTATACTCTAATTCTTACATTACCATCTCGTTTTCATATTGCATCAAAAAAGCCACGCATTATTTCCAATCTGAAGGAAGGTTGGTATTTTCTAAATGTATAAAACAATGTCCTAGTTTTCTGTGAAGGTTCTTTTAACTAAATCCATACAACTATATGTAAGTTTTAAAATCATTTTGTACGATCTTTTGCTACCAGAGAGTTGATGATTAGCTTCTACAATACACGCAATTTTAAAACAATGCCTTAAGTTGGAATAAAATAAATTTGAACAAAAAACCAAACGATTTTCTTACACAAAATTCCTGCCAATTTAAAGATAAATAAATAGAAATGCATCTAATCATCACATCGGTAGTCAATTATTCTTATCAAAATAACACAATTTTGAAAAAACCGCCTCCCAAAATCACACAACCCTACATTAATTACATCAGCAATTCCCGTTTCATAAAAACCCAAAATCAATACAATCAGAATCACGTAACTAATCTCAACCACACTAATAACAAACACATATTAAAAACAAGTCACGGGTGGAAAACATCCTCCAACAAAGTTTCATCCAAAACGAATGAAATATGTCCAAGGAGGGAAGAAGGCAGGCAGGGGAGGGGAGGGACAGAGCAGTGGAAGAAGCAAAGCAAAGGGGAGCAGTAAAGTTTTGTTTTGTTTTGTTTTGTTTTGTTTGTTTGGATTCTGGTTACGAACTGCTGCTGCTGGTGCTTGATCAGAGTAGTAGGGTTTGGGGGGCATTGTAGAGCCGTGAAGTGGGAGAGGCATGGCGCCCAGTATAAAGAAGATGACCATCTCGCAGGAGAGTTTCGACGCAGCCGTCAAGGAGAACATGGACGATTTCGACATGGACTTGGAGGAGGCTGTGCAAGATGCCGTCCAGGCCTTCAAAATTCAGGGCGTCGATCTGTCCGGTACGTGCATTTTCGAGGGGTCGTGTCTCTCTCTGTCTTGATGCCGATGTGATGTATCACTACGAATAGTGCAGAAATAGGGGTCGCGTTATTGTGCTAAGAGCTGGAATTGTAGGGTGTGCATCTCGGGGTGTTGATCGATCGGTTTGTGTCTTTTGTTTCACTGTGACCGCGTGCCTCTTGTTTGTTTGCAGCTGAAATGGTTTTTTTCTTTTTTCTTTTTTCGTATACGTTGTGTCTGTAAATGTGTGGATTACATTCTTCACAACAAAAAAAAAAGGACTAAAAAAGATATTCATGTCTTTAAGAAGAACACAATCATTGAAAATATTTCTCCGTATGGGGTGGTATCTGTATGTAGTGCTTCGAAATACGTCGACCGTCCGTAACCTTCGGCATATAGAATCCAGTATTTGAGCTTTGTATCCCGTAAAGTTGGATGTCCTTTTTTCTTTGTGGATTTTTAATGTCGCTAACATAATGGACGCAAAATGGGCTACTGAAGGTTATCAATGCTACATTTGAAGGGTGTTAAGTCTGTAGTTGCTAAAAATGATAAGATGGAAGATAAATCTTTACAGCCCAGCAATCAAGAACAATGTTAAGCTTGACGCTAATCCTTCACTGGTGGGTTTTTAACCCCCTTTTTTTTATTAAAGTTAAGATTATAATATTTCTAAGCGATTAATTGAAAGATGTTGAGTCCCTTTTGGAACAGATTTAAAATTGAGGAAAAAGTTGAGAAATCACTGGCTGCAAATGATAATTTTCTGGATGATAGCCCTCCCACTTCACCTGACAATTTGAGTCTGAAATGGCTAGAAAGGAGATCTTAGATTTTTAGCCTCCGCTTCTGTAAGTTTCGATTACATACTTTTCTAAGGTCGATCAGCTCTGGAGCACCTCCTATTTCTTGCTGGCATTGCTTTACGTTTTGGAGTAACAACGGCATTCATTTTACATTTCTGTATTCTACTATCTCTAGCGTTGTCTTATTCAGGTTGTCTTGATGTCCGCTGGGTAGGCACCAGATGGCCAGCACATGATGTAGCATTGGCACCCTTTAGTCCTCCAATTTTCATGTCCGTCTATTTTCTGTGAGTTTGATGTCTTTTTGCTGGTTTCCTTGATAGAGGATCGCTGGTTGTCCTGGCTATGCATAACTGAAGGCAACATAGTAGCTTTTGTAACATCTTGCGAAATCTTTGATTCGCGGTTATGATTCAACCGTACAGTCGAGATACTTAAAATCTCCATTTGCTAGCGGTGATGCCTTTTATTGAGCTACGTTCGTGCACCATATGGATTTAAATTGGGCGTCCTTTCTCTGAATTCGAATTCTCAGTTGGATCTAAACTAGAATAGCTTTTGCGTGACATTCAGTAGTTATGATTGCCGTCATGATTCAACTCGATTAACAACTTGATTCTTTTCCTTTTTCTTTTTTCTTTTTTTTGATATCAGGAATTATTATTGATGGAAGCAACATAGGAAAGGCTGACTACGTCCATCCTGTAGTAGAAGCTCTGAAGAAACTTGACGAGAGTCTACTTTGTCTGCGACTTGAAAATGGGAGTTACCTTGACTGGGAAATTAGGCATTCAGGTAACTTTGCCATTAATTTTCTTTTGCACCCATTTGACTAGGGATATAGTGCTCAAACTGATTTTGGGTAGCCTTCCTTTATCTTAATGAAGACCTGCCTACCTATCTTGATTCTTTCTGTGGTGACCTACTTTTCATTGTTGGGCTTAGTGTTTATTTTGACCGCTCTCAAATTCGGTGTTACAGAACCCGAAAAAGTTCAAACACTTTTTGAGACTGCTGTAGAGGCTTTGGAAAAGGTTGCAGAGTTGTGCAAGGGACCAGAAAATGCACAGATTGCTGTAAAGCACGGGGTTGTAGAAGCAAGCCTACAGTCCTATCATGCGTTGAAGTCGTATAGAACGACTTGGGCGAGTCTTGCCTTGAGACTTCTTCTCAGCGTTATCGCAGGTGATTCCTTGATTCTCAAGTTAGTTGTTCGGAAGCATTATCACGGAGCACACACAAATATGCTTTTTCTGTTTCTCCCACAAGAAGAGGTTGTGCCTTGTTTTTTCAGACAGTTTTGTTGGACTTAGATAAACTTGCAAAATGTTTTTAGAGGCCAGGCACTGGGAAACGCAGACCCGCAATATTATGGCATTTTCTTGAGCATTAGTGTAGTATAATATGGGAAAGTATGCTCTTCGAAACACACAGTTAATTTGGTAGCTCGAGCCTGGGACAATTTGAGCGTGAGTTCTCATGGTGTTTAATGTGTTTCACTGTTTGTTGATGTCTGTAAATGTTTAGTAGCTCTATGCTGTCGCTTCTGAAGCATTTGTCCCGGGATTATTGTCCATTAGGGTACAATGTATGTGACGTTGTTTTCCTAGGTCATTTGTTATTTATCCAAGTCTCTAATTAATTTTCTCCAATGCATGTGACCCTTGTGTCTTCTGCTCACTGTCTGCTGGTTTTCTTCCTAGAACACCCCTTCAGAGGAACCAGGCAAAGAAGTGTTTCTGAACTCCAATGGTCCACAGGTTGTTCTGGAAGCTATAGCGTTGGAGGATAAGGTGAATGCTGTGCCTTCTTCGTTTGTCCTAGTACTATGAGAGGACTAAAATGACTTTCGTACTTCATTCATGAAGCTGGGATTTCCTTAAAGGAGATTTTATGAATATTGTTTTGAGTTGAATAGAAACTTTGGCTTTCTTGTGATTGATAATGAGCGCAGGCATGTTTAGGATCACATGTTGAACGTTGTTCAGTGAAATCACTCTAGGAATATAATTCAAAGAAGAAAAAGAAAGTATTTCCTGCTGTTTTGACGTTTGATTGTGTGTAAGACTTAGGGTTTTCAAGTCATTGACAACTTCTAATTTTACAGGAACCTTATGATACTATGATTCGCGAATTGTCGTGCACAGCTGCAAATGTTATAGCCGTGGCTACAACAAAGAATGAAAAGTTGAAGGAGTGTTTTATGGATTTAGGAGCAGATCGGACACTTGTAACTTATCTCAAATTCCATGCAGAGGAAATGGGATCTGATGGTGCAGCTCTTCAAGCAGCCTGTGATGCAATTCGGTCAATGACTGTGGCAGATGACGATCGAGTCCCTACTTCTAACGTAAATATGATGCTTACTCTCTTCTCAGTGTCGTCAGTCAGGACTTAAATCGCGTGTATTTCAACTTGATGATCTCTTATGTTGACTCCAGGTCTCATGCATAACTAGAACATAATTGTTTTGGCACAGGCTTTTAGGAATGCAATGAAAATCGCCAAACTTGGTGCAATAGATGCTTTTCTCGAGATTATGCCTCAGAAGGCCAAGACTATCCCACTTCTGGCTTCTCTTTGTTTCACTCTCAAGAGCTTGTGCGTCAACGTAAGCAGCTTTCGTTCCCAGCTATTCATCATAATGAAGACCTAGTACAATCAATATCTTCATCCGTATGTTCTTTGCTTTAATTCCTTCGTTTTATAGTCTTGCTTCTCAAAATATTCAAATTTTCCTTGAAATTCCAAGTTTCCTTTCTTGATTGGTGTGTCGACCAGTGAGATGTTTTTTTGCAGAATTTTTACGCACTCAGTGAGATCTAAGACCACGTGGTATATTTTGTTGCTTCCAGGATGAGTTATGCAAACATTTCGCTGAGGAAGGTGGTCTAGACATGGTCATTGATTTTTTGGATTATGCGTGTAAATATCCAAATAAAATTGCTGCACGTCAGTCTTTTGCGCTTCTATGTCAGGTTGGTTTTCTTTTATGACTTTTCTGTACACTGTACTGCCTTTCTCGTCTCTCTTTCATTACGGGTGTATCCCTTCCGTGTCTCGAACACACTAATACTGAAGCAGTAATAATCAAGTAAGCATGTTGTGCATCCGGTGATCTTACTAGGGTTTTGAGACCTCTAATGTAGAATGTTGTACATTTGCCTCTTTTACAAGTGGACTCTTTATGCTACTTAAACTTAAGTCCCGGCAGAGATCCATTTCGAGAAATTATATGCTAACTGTTGCCGGATTTCAGCAATTTCTCAGCTATTAGCAATGTCTTTCAAGAGTCTGGTGGTCGATAATTACACAATGGCCGGGTGAAAAGGAACATTATTGAGTTGAACACCCCTGCTATGCCGCAACGGTTGTATCAGCTTCCATGGGTTGGTTTTGTACGTGACAGCTTGCAGGCAGTGACGCAAACAAGGAAGCAATCGTGAAAATGGATGGTTTAAAAAAAATAATTAGGGTTATGCAGAGCTACAATGAGGAACCATCAGTGCTGCAAGAGGTGATTGCTTTACATTCACTTTTGACTAGTAGAGAATAGGAAGCCGTTTCGTCTGCTTTTAATTTTTCCTGTTCTTTTGGTTTTTTCTTGTTTCTCATGAGTTAACAGCAATGTGATTATATTCTTATTTCCCTCAGTGATGGTGGCGTTGCAGGGATTTGCAGTTGTGACAACGCTGACTCTGCGCTCACCATTGCATGCAACGAAAGCAGTTGAAGCTGGGGCTCTAGATCTGGCAGCAGAGATGATGGAGGCTCATTCGAACGCTCCCCAAATGCTTCGCCAAGCTTGTCAGATGGTTCGCAACCTTAATGTTCGAAACCCAGAAAACAGGTACGCCTTGCTAGGACAGGCATATATCCATGTGTGAAAGCTTCTTTGCTTTCAAGCTTCACCATCGTATGTCAGAGATCCCATCTGAAGAAGTTTAGTTAGATTTTTTGCCTGAGTGGGTTCTATGTTGATGACAGTGATAAACCTGAAGAACTTGTTGTTGAAAGAAAAAGCATAGAACGTGATTAATTCAAGAGATGGTTTGAGGTACAAGTTTCTATTCATGAGTAATGTAATTCTTGTAGTAAGTACATGGATGAATGTAAACGAGTATCCGTGATGCCAAAGCTTCTGTTCTGTCGATGTGTGCAGGCCTATAACTCTTGAGAAGGGTCTGGAGCCACTGATACGGAGGGCTAAAGATACTTATTCGATTTGCAACGATGTCGGTTCAGCTGCTCTTCGTGACATGGGTCTTGATGACTACCTGTAGTTAATTTAGTGTTTTGATCGGCTACTTGGAAGTCGTTGGAGCTCATTTTGAAAGTCTCTAATATATTGTAAACTGTCCATCCAATTGCCAACAATGCCAGAAGTCTTTGAAATCATCTTCAGGCTCAAGTTTTTCCTAATTGCCTTTCCATGATCTTGTGAGTTATTTCACTGGTTGCTTGGGGTTTCATGTGCCTGACCCAATTAATTCAGTGTCATGTTTACTCATACCGCTTAGCCCCACAATTGACACAATTCTTCACAATTCAACAGTGGTTTAGCTTGATTCAAAAATGGCCTTCATTGTGACATTCGCTCTGGTGACATCACTACGACCTCATACTGATTCATGTTACTTAACTTAGAACAAATTAATGTTCTAAGTAGATTATGTTACAATTTAGATTGGAAAATGAACATATTTTGCCTCCATGTCTTATGAGGCATTTGTTTATTTATAATTTAAGTTAACCTTGATGCCAATTTTACTAGGTTATGCTCTTATATTATGTGTAAGAAGATATTTAGTTTTATAGTACACCAATTATTTTGTATGTTTTAAATTTAGGAGAATATTAAATAGACCTAAGTAATTAAATTGACCCCTCATCCTAACTATTATTAAATAAATAATGATTTTTGGAATCATTTCTCCATTAATAGATCTTCAATTAATGAGAATCAACCACATTCATCATGATTACCATATTCTTCATCAAGGGTGGATTTATTTAGTAATAGGATGTTACTAATGTCATCACAATTTTTGGTGTTACCACCGCAACTTGCCATCCACCAAATATCACCACAATTTTTGCTAATACCACCACAACCTATCCTAAACTTGAATTGTAGAGTTTTGCCATATCTCACATATTTTATAATTATATCACAATTTACTCTATCATACACAAATCCAACTCAGCTTGCCATTTAGAAATGCCATCCATCCCAGCTCATAGTCAAATACACCATCTTGCAACTACCTCATAGATATAAAGTGTTGGTTTTCAAAGGCTTGCAAAAGATGGACGTAGCATATCTTAGCAAAGTCTTGTCTTCCGTGTTCATTTGGTTCATGTGCCACCAAGTTGATGTAGATCGAGCAGATTTGCTATATCAAATGACACTAGATGCCTCCCTTTCCAATGATCATGAAGATTGTAAAATTGTTATCATCAATTATTACAAATAGGGACATTGGAGCTATTTTAGTGGTGCAACTCTTGTTACAAAAATCCTAAAACCAAAGGAAAAATTGAAGGATTTAAAAGAAATGTCAAATGAGAAATTTGAGAACAAAGTATATTCTAAAAAACTTTTGGCAAAGAGGTTCATGCTTGTAGACACACAAGGATTCTTGTTCAAGCTCTTAAAGAAAGAAAGAAGCTTGACAAATAAGTTGCTTGTTTAGACACAAATCAATATTGTGGTTTTGTAAATTGACTGTAATTAAATTAGAAATAAATAAACTAGTTGAAAAAAACAAGGTGTTAGAAAACTTCCAAGGACCTAAAAATAGGTCACAAGAAACAAGATGACAAAGTTAAAATATAAATGTTTAGTCTCATCTCTATTTATACCTACATTTGCAAGTGTAAGAATAATGAGGATTTTTCTGCAAAGTTTTGGAGTTAAAAATCTACTTATGAAGACCAATTCAAGATTAATTTTAAAGAAAACATGTAAAATTTTCCTTACAAATACAGAAACTGAAGCGAAATATCATTTGCTAACTATCATAACAATCCGGTGGTACCACATTTTGGTTTCACTGCTGATGGTTGTGCATGAAGATTTGTACAGAAACGTTTCACTTCTACAAGAGCAACCTGTACACAACTTTCAGTCCAGCATAATACAATGACGTGGGAGGAATTATACATCATCTTCTCTATACAATTTGCATATTGTAAGTGGTGCTTCAACGAATTGTGGTCCAGGACTTGCATGCAAAACAGTGATAAGTGATCAACAATACAACTCTGAAATGACTTGAAAGCTGTGAAAATGGACTATGTGTTCAGAAGCCAACATTTGTGAACATGGCATTGCGCTTCATGAGTAGAAGAGAAGTGAAGGATAGAAGCCATGTTCACAAGAACTAAAAACCCTACGTGATCCAGTAGTCGAAATATGAAGAAAAGCTACAGATTTCTCGAGGTCTAGGTAAGCAGGCTATCGGAAAACAATCGCATGGTGTTCTATGAACATCTGTGTTAGCTGCCAACGTCATTGATAGCCAGGAAGAATAATATTAGGTACATCTATTTTACAGAGACCAAGGCTCAAACTCAAGTCTTGACTACAAGTTCAAGACAAGCCCAAATTTTCTTAGCTGCTTGAGTAAGACTCGTCTACCTGTCCCCAAGCTTCTCCTCGTCATCATCGGCCATTTCGAACGCGTCAACCGCTAATAACTCAGATGGACGTTCAGAGAGCTTATCGTTTCTAGCAGTTCTGACACTTCCTCTTAGCTTTGTAGATTTATGTGGAGCAGACTCCTCCAACTCGCCTCTGCGGGTTACTCGAGTATCTGATTCTTGCTCCAAAGAAGTCAACCTACTCGGAGAATTACTTGGAACCCCTGATTTGCAATTCTTCAGTTGTTCTTGCAAACTCTGCACCTGCAGCTTTAGATCGTGTATTTCCTTCTCCTGCATCAGGATGACCTGCGCATCCGATACATGGTGAGACATAATACGGCATCCAGCAAGCTGAAGATGAAAGAAAAGCCTACGAACTACCACAATCGTTTTATGAAGCCCACTTTCTTTCATTATACTCCCTCTGTTTCACAATTAAATAACTTAAGGAAGATCAGACTTACTTCTTTCCTCAATGCTTCAAGGTTGGTCAAAGCCACCTCTTGTTTCGTAATAGTAGAGGTTCTATCTTCTGATTCTGTCTTCATGTCCTGCTTCCAGTCTGACTGACTAGTCAAAATCAACACCAATAAGACCAACCCCAAAGCCATGGGGCGTGACATCTTCAACTACCTGCAGAACGCCAACCATGTAAATTTGTAGTGCTGAGATCTGTGCACTTCCTAAGGTCGCCAGTCAATTAGCCATTTGCATATGTAAATTAGGATTGAACCAGTACCTTGCAATAGACAGCCTTCAAACCTGAACAGGTCAATAAAATGGTCTATCTTAATGCAGCGCCTTCTTTCTACACGAACGCAGATCTAGTGTTAAAAATGATCCCCTGTGCACGATGTCCACGAATTTAAAGCCCATGATCCAATCAGAGCTTGCCGTCTGGCCATCACAACAACTGACACAATTGCATATCGTCAGGTTCCAGATCACTGCCTCATCTATGTTCTCGGCAGACAAAAGTGTTCAAACGGCAGGGTCTGCAAACTCAATCCGGAGAACTTGATCACCCAAACCATTCAGAGTGTACGACTACTAGTTTACAATATTTTGTACAACAAAAGCTCATATCGACATCCTTAGAATCTTTAGGTTTCAACATCTTTTCTTCTTCTATATGAAATTCCGGCTAGTCACGCTAAAAAAAGAATATACTTTTTTAAAGCAAATGTGAGATCATTCTAAATTCACATATTAAGGGCGTCCCCATAAACCACTTCTCCAGACCTCTGTGTCACATGGATAAAAATTGTGAAACCAAACTAATATGAAATTCGGGCCGGGCATTTCCCAACCTCAGGTTAGGACGTTTCGTTACCCACTTTGCATCTACTCTCATAAATGTTGAAGAGCCTCTTGAAAATAACAAAGTACATCACAAACCATCAATCCTAGTGCAAAACTTCGAAACCCTAAGACGAGATAGGACAGACCTCCTCTGACTCCATACGCCAAGCTCAATTTGCGGCATCAGTGTCATAAGTTCCTTACAGACATTACCGAAAACTATGCAGTAAAATTCCAATCACAACCAAAGTATCAGAAAAGGAGGAAAAAACATAAGACGTTCGGGTATCCTTCCGTCGTCACAAAACTAAGAGTGATAACGCTAATTGACGCTGTCCGATGACTAAACAACCACGCAAACTGATAAAAAACTAGGTTTGCCACGAAAGCAGAGGCAATAGGGATGATCAGGTACGTACTAGAACCAAATCAAGTCACATCCAACGACGATTCCCACAGACAAAAATCAAACTTAGACTCGTCCTTCCTTCGAGGCTCTCACAGCACCTGCACCTCAAGCTACAAAACGAGAGAGGAATTTCGAAACAATTCAAAGGAGGGTTCTCCACCCCACAACCCCTTCCAGCCTTCTACATCTGCAGCTGCAGCTGAGCTGCACAGTGAGCTTCCTGTGCACACTCACAAGCTCCTCGAAGCAGCAATTGCGTGCTACGCCCTGATGCTCACGCCCATCTACCGCAGCAACCCCAACTCTCTAACCACACATACCCTATTCTTCACTCTCCAGTGCATCATTGAGCAACCCACCTCAAGCATTGCCCCAAAAGTGTTAGTGAAGCAGTGCTGTTTGTCTTGCACTGTGTTTTACAACAGTAATCTGGTGTCACAATGCAAACTTGGCTAGTTTCACTGCTCCATGGAACTCATTACTTAGCATTCTCCTGCTTGATTTTAACACCCATGTTTTTGTTTCGGAAGTGATATTGTTCTGGTTCTGGGAATGAATAAAACTGGCGTGATAAATAGTTGATGATGCCACTTGTAGCAGGTTCTCCTTTGCTTGTTTGGAATAATAAAAGCTTTGATGGTTCCTGATAATGTGACATGTGGTGCAAAATGAATCTCTATGGCCCATTTTGAGTGCGAACTGGAAGCGCTGGTTGATGATTGGGACGGGGTTGGGAGGGTAAAGAATGTTTGGATTCATGATGTGTGCACAATGTACATTGAATTGGTGGTTGTGAAGAGTACAAAACTCAAAAAAAGTAAGTGTGCTCTGGAAAAGGGTGTATGTTCTAGTGGTGTTCAATGAACGTAATTTCGTGTTTGAGATTGTGGTTTACTGCTATGTGTGAAAGTCTAATTTTATTTTTGGTTATCGTGACAAATAACAGTGAATCTTGACTTTTAATATTCGATGCCGCTTTTTGCATTTAGTGAACCACACGTTGGATTCTGAAAGAAATCCAACTGAGCATGATCCAAGCTTAAAGGGCTTATTTACTTTTACGTGGTCATTAAATTTCAACCATAAACTTATCTGACTCAACCATATTAAGTTTTATTTATTAGAACTTTATTCACTTGGCCTATTTAATTGTGGTTGTCATTATTCTTAAAGCAATAAAATTGCAATTTTGATAGTATTAATTTTAATTTTAATTAAACATGTATTTAAGCTATATAAAAAACATAGTGAAAATTGAGTACCAACCAATATAATTTTTATTTTATATATATATATATATTCTAATTATAAAAATTAGATATTAACATGAAATAAAAAATGTCACACTTATAAAGTATATATCTTTATAATAACAAAACAAAAATAAAAAAACTAATTTTGAATTCATGTTATCCTTAGACTTTATTTTAACATTACTATAACCACTCAAAATGTATAATTTAGAATAGAAGAATTGCAAATCAATATTATATTTTTTAATGCAATGAAAAAAAAATAATGTTGGTAATAAGAGAAATTATTTACATTATAAAAGACCTAACTACAAGGCTATTAATAGTCCAAAACAATTATGCATATATAAAATTCAAAATTTAAGTTATAAAAATAAGAAAAATTAAAAAATGATAATATTTAGGAATAGAAGAAATCTTATAAATGTTTTTGGTATTTTGTCTTTTTAATCTTATATGTCTCTCTCTATATACATATATGTATGTATAAGGGAATGTTAAAGCTACCCAAGTTTTTACTACATCAACCTACCTATCTAGAACATCATTGCATCTTCCTTTCCACATCCTAGTTCCCATTGAATTCTCCATATACCCAACCAAGACATCAATCTTGTTTGTGATGTTCATTAGTACAGGAATTGAGAATCTTACTGCTGACTAATAAAATTATCCCCCAAACACACACAGGAGGAATGCAAATCCTGCATATATTCAACCAAGACATCAATCTTCCATATGATGTTCATCAGTACAGGAATTGACAATCTTACTGCTGACCAATAAAACTATCCTCCAAACATGTACGTAGGAGGAATGCAAATTCCTGCATCACAAGAGAAAGGAATTCGCATGTGATGCAAGGGAAAGGAATTGAATGATTACTCTTGCTATTCGAGTGACATGTCATGACAAGTTCATCATAGAAGACATACTCCGCTTCGTTATTATGTAAGTGAAGTTCTTTTTGCTGGGCCGTGTGGTAGTGGTGCCTGGACACAGTCTTGTTTGTACTTGTTCGTTTTCTAAATCTATGAAGATCAATTTCACAGATACCCAACGCAAGCATCACCGCCTGCTTGCCTGACAAGTAGTGAAATCCTTGCACCTATAGCCATTCATTCACTACCTTCTCAGTTTGCTCCACAAACTTGCGCACCGAGTACCACTTTGCAATGCGCGATGTCAGAGTGTCAAAATGAGGATCGGTCACCAGTGGAGGCGCCACATGCACAGGGTCACACATAGCCATGTCCATTAAATAAGGCACCTGGCTGACTTACATCACGATCGAAATATCGTCTCTGTGGGGATGGCAGTAGCAACGCACTCGATGTGCACATTTGTGCAGAATGTTGCTATTCATGAACGCAATAGTTGTCATTTCTTCCACATGCTTCTCAAACCCTTTTATCCTTACGTTATTTAGCCGCACAACTACCTCATGTGCATCAATTGCCTCTTCCAACGTATTGTTTAATAGGATTCCATTGTTGCCCATTACTGTACACGTTTCATATCGTCTTCTCTTACTATTGCTACAATGATGATGCCGATCAATAGGCTCCTTAATCATTATTACCAAGCTCTGTATTATCTTAGGATCGCACCACTTCTTTACCACCCATGTTCGCAGCAGAGCTTGAAACTGCGACCAGAATGAAGGATACCGTGGTGTAGGTAGCCGCGATTGCCAACTTCCAGTTCTACCTCGCAGCCTACAATGTGGATCATTGCTCCCTTCTAGAACCTCTTTAATCGCAGCCTTCTCATGCTCCATATTAGGCTTAGATATCACGAATGCCAGGAAAGTACTGTCATTCGTGATATCACTTCTGTACAAATGAAGTTTTCTCTCTTGCCCTGACCCTATAGTAGTCGCTGATACTGTACCAATGTCTCGCCCGAGATATGTGTGACTGAGGTGATGGAGGTGACATACCTTTTTTTTTTTTTTTTTTTTTTTTTTTTGTAATACACATTTGGGGTGCCAGTGAGTGATGAAGCTCATTTCTCATCATGTACCTTTTCATTCTCTGTTGATAATCCACTGAACTCACGCTATTGGTCAATTAGATTATATATCTATACATAGACCTACATATAAGTACTACACATAAGTGATTTGTATCCCCTTGTGTACTGCATCTTGATAGTAAACATTCTTCTTCTTTAATACACGATGCAATTATCAGATTGAGGAAATGAATTTTTATAGGCTGAGTAACACCGTACCAACTTCTATCAATTCCATCAACCACTCTGCACTGGACATCACAAGGCTATGGCACAAAAAAATTACTTCAATTTTTAGTCTTTTTACAACTTATCACATAGAGATATAGTCACTCATATTCCTATTTTATCTCTTGTGAAGATATCTTATAAAGCTTATATTCTTGAAAAACATCTTTGCCATTCAATTCTTTAATCAAGTTTGACTCCTAGAAACAAATCACTTCAATTAGTACATTTAGACTTGTGTAGATTATTACATATAAAATCTTTATGTAGATCACAATATTTTTTAATCTTTATTGATGACTTTTTAAGACAACCTTAGATCTACTTCTTCACTCATAAAGAAGATGTATTTGAAACTTTGAAAAGATTCAAAACTATGATTGAAAAAGAAATGAATTACAAAATATCTTGCCTAAGAAGTGATTGTGGAAAGGAATATATGTCTAAGGAATTTACTTCCTTTTTTTTTCAACTTGGCAAACAATATCAATTAATTATAGTATAAAAATCCTAGTAGAATGGAATTGCCAAAAGAAAGAATATATGCTTCTAGTAAACAATGCACTCTTTTCTTTAGTGCTAATCTATTAGTCTATCTATGAAAAGAAGTAGCTTGTATAGCAAATTATATCTCCAATCAAATTCTTCATTGATAACATCATTAATACTCTATCTTCACCAATTATCAAATGTAGGGCTTGATTTAGATTATTAAATTTAGCCACTATAACTCTTTGTAAATAAAAAATCTAATCTCTTTCACTTATGCATGTTTGGTTGCATAGCCTATTATCATCTACCAAATATAAACAAACTATAGTCAAAAGCTCAAAAATCTATACTTATTGATTATTATGACAATCCTAAAGCCTACAAATGTTTCAACTATATCACAAACAAAATGATTATTACAATAGATGTTAATTTTGATGAAGATAATTTGAAAACTCTACCAATTGCATCTTCAATATTCTCTAGTTATGACATCTGTTACTTCTTTTTAAAACAAGAAGCAAGTATTCTAGTCCATGACAATCATAGCAATGCTTTAGCTTTTAATAACTTACTTGATAATATCATCGGTACTCCATTCTCACTACTTATCTTTTAAAACTCTCTAACAACAATTTTGATACATTCTATGTATTTTTTAACCAATGACATATTCCTTCTATTTTTTTTGGCATTCTATACATATAAAAAAAATAAACTATCAAACTCAAATTGTATTCTTTTTATAACACCAAAACATGCAAATATTTATCTTATTTAATACTCACTCAAAGACAATAAGGACAAAATATTCTTTACAAAAGTAGACTCCAAGAAAGACTATCATCAAGCCATGGAAGATGGGCTCTCTTTTATTGCTAAGAATGACATTATGTCCAAAAAAACATATAATAAGTTTAAGATGGGATTTTAAAACCAAGCCTAGCATCAACAATCAACCACCAAAGAAGAAGATGTGACTCATAGTATGAAGATTTAAATAAGTATATGGAATTGATTTTGATGAAGTCTTTGCCCCTGTAATAAAATGGTCCATAATAAGATCTCTTGTAGCTAGAACTTCCCTAAAAAAACCATCCTATCTAACATCTAGATGTGAAACAATCTTTTTATATGACAATCTTATGGATGAGGTCTATATGGAGGAACTACTTGGCTTCTTCAAATCCAATCATGATTAACTTGTATGTAAACTTAAAAATTCATTCTATGATTTATGACAAAATCAAAGAATGTGGTGCAAAAGGTTAGATACTTACCTAAAAAGTCTAGATATAATCTAAAGTATAAGTAATCGCAATCTTTATCAAATTGGGATTGATGACATGAAAACAATTCTTCTTGCCTATGCCAATGACCTCTTGTTAGTTGGAAGAGATACCAACAAAATACACTAGTTAAAACAACATTGGACATTATAGTGAATATATGAGTGATTTATATCTTATCAATGAATATTTGAGCATCAAATTTAAAATTTTATTGATGGAACTATTTCTATTTCAATTGCAATATACTGAAAAGATAATATAAGAATTTAGAATATAAGACTCAAAAGA